GAAAAATTGCTGTATGGCTTTTATTCTTTTTTTTAGTTATACGTTATTTTATTGTGAGTTAATCACATAAAATCCCACTAAAACACATTGTTAGAATGCAACTGAACACAGGTCAGAATGAACTGTTCCATTTAGTTTTTTGTTGTTGTTGTTGTTCTAGATTCATTCAGTTTTATGCAATACAACTTTACCCAGACCTGGCAAAAAATGTACCTTGTCTTTAATGTGGTTTTACTTGTTTAGTAACTCACATGAAGCAACATCCAAGGAGAAAGGAGATATGCAGACAGAGGAATCGTTTGTGTCTTCATCAGGCTTATGGTCAGGTCATATGTTGAGACGGGTAGAGAAGAAAATAAAGATAGCAGATGTAAAACCAAGCATGTGAGAGACACAGCATGAGTGTGCCATGTGACAAAAATCACAAGCATAAGTTTCCTGATCAAAAGGCACTGTACTATGCAACCATAAATGGGCATGAGTACAGTTGAGCTTGTTAAGCATTTGAACATCACTAACAACACACTCAGCTAGCATATTACAAACAACACACTTATTTAGCATATTGATTCTGAATTTAATTTTTCTGTATTAGCTATTTCTAAATACTCTTCCCAGTGCAGCCAGTCCCTCTCTCTGCACAAGCATCAGCATCATGAGCTGTCATCATGCAATCTGCCTACAAACAATAATAAAGCGCTGCATTAAAACAAGCTGTGAAAGAGTTCTCCTTTCTTTGGCAAAACTTCAGATGCAGGTTGGGCACTTTTCTTTGTAAAAAAATCTTTGCAAAAACAGAACTTATTATACTGATCTTGATCTATAAATGAGGAATAATCATCAGAAACTCATCATATATCTTTTTGTTATCATTTGTTTTCATACAGTCAGCTAGCTTGTAGGATGGTGACTATTCTGCCAGAGGTCATTAGGTTTGTGGAGCAGCAGCTCAAGCTGATTGTTTACCATGGGGACACTAAAACAGTGCTATCCAAGTCATCTGACCTAATTACGCAAGCAAAGGACCGCTAAGGATAATATATCACTGTTGGCGCTTCTCCATGCTGTCAGAATAAACAAGGTACACTGACTTTTGGTGTAAAATGCTAATTAACAAGCCTCATACTGAAAATATACTCAATCTGTTTTCTTGTTTTTTATTTGTTATTGTGTTATGGCAAAATTATTTTAATAACATTTCAACAGTGGGAAAATTATAGAATTGTCTCAGTTAAATACAGTATCTTGATGAAGTGACAATTGTGACATAAAAGTTATAATAGTGCTTTTTAAAGAAAGCACATTTATACAAGTAATTTGGCAAGGCTTCTACTTGCGCTGAAAGATTTATAGTCTTTAGACTTTGTACATGTTTCATTTTCTTATCTTTTAAACAGGAAAATACAACCAGACCCTCTCACCAAAGGAAATTTGTACTTGACATTATGGCCTATTCTTAAAACTACTGAACATAACAAGTATGACTTGGGAAGTGCATGCATGTTTGATTTACAAGTCTGTCCAAGATCTACCTTTCTTTTAGCTTTGGCAGCAGGTTTTATTTCTCTTTTCACATAGAGGATAACTTTTAATATATACATGAGATTGTGATGTGATTAAAATCAATATAATTTTGTTTTACTTCACAATATCAGTGAGTAGATAACAAGTTGGCAGGACAAAGCTTGAAAAGCCAGGGGGGTACGGGGGGAAATCCACTTTTAAACACAATTATTGGTTTGTGCCTGACATTACAACCTAAAACGCTACAGGCTCCTAAGTATACATTTAACATTTATTTTAAAGTATTCTATATTTCTTTGCATTTTCTATATTTCTCTTCTATTTTTCTAAACTCAATATGACTGAAGAAACTTTTTTTTTTTTTTTTTGCCATAAGATTTTTTTTTAAAGTGTAGAAGCCTTAAGGTCTGAACTTGAAAGTGCAGGGACCTGAGCCCCCAAGCAGCTGTTGGAATGATAAATGTCACATAGGGCTGCCAAGTAACAGCAAACAGACTACAAACGCTGTGGCAGGCCTCAAATTTCACAAGCTCTTTCTTTGGGAGGACAAAACAGTTTGAATATGAGTTCAGTCCAAGGCAAATCACACAACAGAAAGGAAACAGATGTTCCATTATAAATATTTACTGCACACATTGTGTCAAGTAATAATTAAAAACAAGCTAAACAGAATGAGTGTAACATTTTACTAATGTTTTTCGTCATAGCATTATTATCAATCACAGCTTCTGTCAGTGATATGCCAAAGAAAGTGCTCAAGTGACAGAGGTTTTCTGTGGTTGCATTATTATAAAATAATGCAATGTTGCCCCACACTGACATTTAGCTGGATGAAAGAAAACTAGAAGAAAGACAAATTTATCTGTTTGCAAACATTTGAATAAAATTAATTTGATAGTAAAATACAATTTATTTGTATAAATACTATGGTTTAAAAAAATGTTTACTTAAGCTTTTAGTGTGAGTCCATGCTTAGCCTTAGTGTGTATATTAGCAACACTATATTTTAACCTAAGCCTTTGAATAGAGCAATTTGCTTCTAATCAAAAATATGGATGCCTATCTTCAGTGCATTGGTATAAAAACAGACTATTAAGTTGTCAGCAAAAAAGTAATTTTAGTGTTAAACCCATTTCTTACTATTTTAACACAACTTTTCTAGTTTCAATAGGTGTAACCAAGTAGTTTGCATGTAATGATTTGCTATCATATTGGCAGAGAAAGACATTAATAAACATTTATCATCTCACTATGAATTGATTCAATTCTAAATGTCTGACAGTTCATTGATATGACACAGCTGTTACAATTCAAACTTAACAAAATTACATCAAAAGATGAAACATTTCATTCCATCTGACTCCAGAGTATGTCTACTGAATATTCAAGAAATAATGCCTTACTGACCATTTCAAAAATTTTAACTAAAAATGTTGATGCAAATAAAAGACCACATTTTAAGTTGTGAACAACCTGAAGTGTGTTGCTGTTCACACACGTTAGGTTAGCAGGTGTCACTTTTAAGCATCACAATTTGTTGCTTAAACTGTTTCTCACGTTTTATTTTATTATTGGATGCACATTTTATTATTGGATACTGAGGTCAGTCTTCATTTTTCTCTGAATAACCCTTCTGATTTTGGATTCTTTAACTTTTTGTTAATAAGCTCATTTCCTACTTTGGACTTTGTACTGTATAATCTGGCTAACTAAAGTAGTTACAGCTAAAAAAAAGAAAAACCTGCAAGACTATGTAAAAAAGTTGATGATTATCTAGGTTAGATATTAGACTGAACAGGAAGGAAAAGATAAATGGCAGCATAAGTAAAGAAGAATCTGACATGTAATTATAGGGTAGAGGTGAAGGCGGACAGAGAGAGAGGGAGAGAAACAATAGCACAGAAACAAAGAAACTGACTTCTGGTGCTGGAACAAAATCTTTACTGGAGAGTTCAGTTTGTGAATAGTAATTCAAACGGTAGTTCAGTGTGTATTACTATTAGAAAGTCAAAATAGATTAAAACACATATGGCACAAACATCCATCTTTTTTTATCAGTATTCCTTTGGCTTAGTTCACTGTGTTACTTGTGGAGCAAAAATACATCACACTGTCAATTATGTAAGTATTAAGCACTGGGGTAAATTTGGGTTTAAATCGCTGCGTGGTAGCTGTGTGTGTTTGTATATCCGTATAAAGCCCGGATAGACGCACGCACAGCTGGGATTTCTTGGCTTTGTTCTGGGTTTGCAAAGATTTTTTCTTCTTGGTCTACATGGGCGTCTCTAACTGTGACGAGCCACTTGGATTGGTGCTTTGCAAAACACGGAGCGTGCCATAGGAACGGAGCTGCCCTGAGAGCAGCTCGACACTGGCGTTCCTGTCCTGACAGAGTTGCTGATTAACATACAAAACAGAAGGAAATTTACATGGGGTAGGGAAGTAGAATTTACTCATTTTGCTGTGTTGCTGCAACAGTACTTTCTTAAATTGCCAAATAAATGATCAATGTCAGCATTTATTTGTAGAAGATTATTAGTAGTACCAATGACAGAAATGAAGTGTTTCTTACCTTAAAAAAAAACTAAATTTTTTTTAATAAGATCAACTTTGTTGTCCCAAAGAAAATTTGTCTTGGGTGCAGACACTGGCTGCTGCATAGCCCAAAATCCATAACCATCACATTATATTCAACCTTAACACATGAATGTTTTAAATTAGGTAGAGTTCTTAAATTAATGTTAGGATGGTAAACCTTTACTTTCAATCCCAGATTTCATGCATTTTCTGTTGAATTCAGGTAATTATTTGATCAGTTCCCAATGATGTATATTAATGTTAGAAGTGGAGACACTGGAATGAACTGGCTATCATATCAAATTTTCAGATACATTTTCCAGAGGTCTATTGATATTTTCAGGAGATATACAAGCCAAGCAACATAATATGTTAAATTGCAGTCATCATCACATGTCAAAATGTGAAACATTTTGACAACTTCCAAAAAGACATGCCCAAAACACTGGAAATGTTGCCCAGCCAACTCAGCTGACTCGAAATTGTACTCCTACACTGTTCTCTGTAGAGTGAGAAGATGACCGGTCCAGCTTCTCACCCTATCTCTAAATACCTGAAAATGATGTTTGACAGTTACTGAAAAAGAGCAACGAGCAACCTTTCATGTCTCCAAGAACACTATAAACACTATATGTTCTTTATTCTAACACAAGAAGTGCTGGTATGTGGTGTCAGCCTGTGGTTTGAGATCTTGATGTGAAACAAATCATAAAACTAAAACTAGGCACAGAAAATTCTCAATAATAAATTTGGTAATTGTATCAATGGATAATATTTGCACACTATGAACTTAAACAGAAATAACCTCATTATAAAGACTGTACTCTGCATTAAAGATTGTTTCTATGATTTCATGTGAAAAATATTCAACCTTTTCATGCTGTCTTTCTACTCTTCAGGTGGGACAAAGGGCAGCCTGATGTATGGGCTCTGAGCAGGACAGATGGACACAGAAAAGGCCAAACATGAGGCGGAAGAAAGTTTAATGTTGGAACAGTTCGGAACATCTCACCATCATTCTCACAAATTCCAGAATGGAGCTCGGTGTTCACAGGAGGATTCTGTGCAGATCAGCAACAATGAAAGCTGGATTACTGGTGCGGTGCAATATGAACCCAGCAAAGCTGCTGGCCCCATGAAGAGATACAGAGAGAACTGCAACATTCCTGCTTCCGAACAAGCATTGTTCCAACCGGGATTCTTCAAGATGAACGGAGACTTAATGAACGGAGAGTTGAAGCATGGATTCGCAGAGCAGTCCTTAGCGGGCCACCAAACTAAGAAAATAGATGGTGAAATGAAAGAAAACGGTGACTCAAGCCGTAATTTTGTGAAAAACTTCTCTGAGTTGACAACGAAAACTGAAATGGAACAGACCGCTGTTCAGACTGATATTAATTTTGATATAAGAAACTGTCACATACCTAACAGGGATATTTTCAACCGACCACGAAATAAGTCTGTTCCAAATGGTGCTGTATCATCTTCCTCAACCATAGAAAGTACTCCCGGTGATCTGTTGGAAAAAACCTTGTCTCAGTATTATCCTGAGCAAGTGTCCATTGCACCACAGGCATCTGGATCACAGCTGGATACTGTCAATGACTCACTCGCCACACGCTCAGTTGGTGAAGGTGCACAACCCCCTGCTGTAACCTCAGGGCTGTCGAAGCAGCAGCAGCCGCCTGCAGCATCCGCAGAAGGCGTCAACAGCTACAACTCTGGCAACTATTTAGTAAATGGATATTCTAGTAACTTTGGAGTAAATCAGCAGCAACAGTCTCCATCTTGCTCTGGTCAAGAGATAGCTCTGGGGCCACAACAGAATCCCGGTGGGGCACAATGTTTTCCAGATAACACAAACCCTCAAAGTACATATACAAAAACCCAGCAGGAATACAACCCAAGGTCTTTCCTGAACCACAATAACCCCTCGCAGGCTGCAGAGGCAAGTGGATATGGATCTCTTGTTAATTCTGGTGCAAATGAGAACAGTCAGAATGACAACAGAGCTCATCTGTATCATGACGCCAACATGGGACTCCAGTATGGGACTCAAGCTCAGAATTTTCAGGATAACTCTGGACGACAACATCAACCTGATGGTCAAAGGGGAAACAGCCTCCAGCAGCAAAATCACTCTGTGTCAGTAAATGGTGTGGAGGACACACATCAACAAAGAGTTAACATTTCATGCTCCACTCCCAGCCAAACTAATTGGATAGAAAGGAATCTTTCACATTCCCAGCAGCAGCCGACACAGTGCACAGTATCCCAGGCAAAAGAGCAAGACAAGTGGATAGCTAAGCCTCAGTCAGAACAACAGACCACCAGGCCCCAAGTTCAAAATCAGATACTGGAGCCAAACCAAGTGCAAAGGTACAGGGAAACGCAGACACAAGGACTTTTTACAGACAGCAGGCGAGGATCTAACGGCTCGCTTCAAAAACAGCCGGACTGTCTACCTGCTCACATGCAATGTGCTTCAGTTCAGCACAACACTGCCCCTGAGTGGCAGCAGTCCAACTCTAAAGCACCTCAGATGCAGCAACATTTACTCCAGAAAATGCCTGAGACAAAAAACTTCCCTCAGAATCACCAAACTAACTGCTACCTCTCCCCAATGCAATCAGAGCACTTACACGAGGACAAAGACTTGCAGGAGATATTGTCAGTAGAGTTTTTAACACAACAGCAGCACTGTCAGCTTCAACGCCCGCTGTCCCACCCACCACAGTTTGAAGCCCAGCAGCTCAAATCCCCCACCTACAGACCTCGCAGCCAGCCTCCACCAGGCCAACACCAGCCTCAACCAGACCAGCCTTTCAGTAACAACCATCAACAAACTGACCAATCAGTATTCGCCTACAATAACACAGAGATGCAACAACCACAACATCAAAGACAGTGTCTTGAAAACTCAGGCAGCCAAAACCCCAAACAGTTTCAACCACAGCAGCCTAACAACCACTGCCATGAGCCCAACCAGGTGGACTTAGCCCAGACTTCTTCACAGTCACAACATCACCTACCACAGGGTCTGTTCAGTCAACAGTCAGGAATACGGGTGTATCCCAAAACTGAGGAGCAGGCGAGGGCTTCTTGCACTCAGTTCCAAACAGGACCTCAACTACCTCTGGGACCAGCAGGTCCCCATGTTGATTTTCAGAGGCATGCGGCTCTTCGCATGCGTCTATTACAAAGGCAGGAACGCCATGGCCCTTCTCAACTCCCTCAAAGCCCAGTTGACTCCAAACAAAACCTTGGAGCTATAAAAATGGAAAACAGCCCCAGATTCGAGCTGCCCACCTCACGGCAGCAGGAACAGCCGTTTATGACTCGTGATGCAGGGATGGGCGGGGTCAAGATCAAGACCGAAAATCAACAATCCCTATGTGTTCAAGACAAGAAGCCAGGGAACATCCTGGCCTCTATGGAACAACGCTTTAAGCAGTACGAGCTCTCAAATCTATATGAGAAGAAACCTCTCGTTAATTCATCAAATAAAGTCAAAGTGGAATCCTCAGGGGCTGTCACCATACTATCAACCAACATGAATATGACTGGGACAGAATCAACGGCCACAGCAGCTTCTATTCTGAAAAATACCATGGACTCCACTCCCAAGAAGGAACAACTCCTTAAAAATTTCATAGATTCCCCCATGAAGTTGTTGGATGCCCCTGTAAAGAATCTTCTGGATACCCACATGAAAACTCAATATGAAATTGCATCATGCCACTGTGTTGGTAGGTATCCACCTGTGGGTGATGAAAGGTGATCAATGGTTTAGGTTGTAATTCTTAATACTTTATGCCTTATTTAATTTAGATCAAATCATTGAGAAGGATGAAGGTCCATATTACACTCATTTGGGCTCAGCACCTACTGTCGCTGGCATTCGAGAGCTGATGGAGAAAAGGTAATCCACAAATTAATAGAGCATCAGAGGAAAGCTGACAATGTTTTACAACTTCTGTTTGTTTTTTCTTAATGTTTTATTATGTTTTGAAGGTCTGGCATCACTGGGCGAGCCATCAGGATTGAGAAAGTAATTTACACCGGCAAGGAGGGGAAAAGTACACAAGGATGCCCCATAGCCAAATGGGTATGAAGATTTTTTTTTTTTTGTATTTTATTTGTAAACTGATAAATGGGCTGCCCTTAAGTATTTCTGTGGTACCTGTGTGTGCTCTGTTTCAGGTGATTCGGCGATCCAGTGTAGAGGAAAAGCTACTGGTTTTGGTGCGTGAGCGTACTGGTCACAGATGTGACACTGCCTGCATCATAATTGTAATTCTGGTCTGGGAAGGCATCCAGCCCAGCTTGGCTGACCGCCTCTACCTCGAGCTGAGTGAAACTCTAACAAAACATGGAGCTCATACACAGAGACGCTGTGCTTTCAATGAGGAGTAAGTTACAGCATTACAGTACTCAGAAGTGTCTTATAATTAAATGACTTCATCTCAGTAGTTTACAGGTACATTTAAAAGATATTATGGAAAGGGAAATTCATAATATTTGGATTCACAATAAAAGAGTGGTAGATTTCAAGCATTTATTTTCTGTTAAGGGATGGTATGACGTATTTCCCAGGGACAAAGTGCTACTTATAGCACAATCAAGTAACTATGTCACCTTCAGTTGTTATAAAAATGCTGTTTATATGTATTAAAATAGTTTTGAAAAAATTTGACTTTATATCTTCCATGAACATCTCAGCAGAGCTACAAACAGATTACCATCCATGTCATGCTGCATTGACGCAATAATTGATGCAAAATGAACCTCAGTGTTTTGAGTACATTTACAGTACATGAACATACTGTACTGCTGATCCATTTGTGTTTTTAATTTTTTTTAACAAACTAAATCTTTGGTTTTTATTGGCTACAAGTCATCTAAATTAAAGAAATAAATAATCATTCTGCTTAATGATTCCATATGTATTTTCTCTAACTGGATTATTTAAATAAAATAACTTCTTAGTATTTAGTTGTTTTGAATACACCTGTCAGACTTAAATATTAGAAATGCATTATGTTCAAGATATACGCCTAGAGTGCAAATCTATTCTGTTATTCAAAGTTCTTTAGCCAAGTTTGTTTTGTCAACTCTCTCTAGTTGGATTAACACAGAGACATGTTACCTGTACACTTTCAGGAGGACTTGTGCATGCCAGGGCTTTAATCCTGAAGCCAGCGGTGCGTCTTTCTCTTTTGGCTGCTCTTGGAGCATGTATTATAATGGCTGCAAGTTTGCTCGAAGCAAAATCCCAAGGAAGTTTAAGCTACTAGGAGATGATGTCAGAGAGGTATTTAACGCAAATTATGTTGAGAATCACGGCTGTAGCCCAATTAAAAACACTTATGTTTAACTTGATGTGAAATATTCTGTTTTTTAGGAAGAGAATCTTGAGAAAAGTTTTCAGAATTTGGCAACATTACTGGCTCCTTTGTATAAAATTATGGCCCCTGAAGCCTATGGAAACCAGGTGAGAATATCTTGGTATTATAAAACCTCAATACATCAAATAATTTCCTATTTTTCTACTAAAATAATATAAATACACATTAATAAAAGACATAGTTGATCCTGAGATTGAATGAGCAAAAGCAAGCGGACTTTTAAATTATTATTAGACCTTTCTATTGTGAAATTTGTACTTTCTGACTTTGAGGGCACTTAATAAAATAAGGAGGTGCAAAAAAATCTTAATATGACCATAAAAAGAGTGCACTATAGTTAATCTGTCTGCAGGAAAGGCTGTGAGTGAACATTTGTCATGTGGAAGACATTTTTAATTTCTCCATGTGTCTTAAAAAGGATCAAATTTGATAATGGCGTGACAGAATCCACATGTCTGAATGATTGTGTGTGAATATGATCTACACAAAGAAAAGACCATTAAACATAGATTAGACTGTTACATTTTTAGCAGGGTTTTTGTGAGATTTTGAATTTTTATATTTTCTCTTGGCATTGTCTGTAGGTAGAACATGAGCACAGGGCCCCAGACTGTCGCTTGGGGATCAAGGAAGGACGGCCTTTCTCCGGAGTGACTGCATGTTTGGATTTTTGTGCCCATGCTCATAGAGATCTCCACAACATGCAGGGAGGAAGCACTGTGGTAAGTGTGGGAACCTGGGAAACATGTCTTTACACTCCCTTGTCAAAGTATTTATGCTCCTTTAGTTTTGTCACTTCTCCTCTTGTTGCAACTATAAATGTAAATATTTTTATTGGGATTTTTGTTAATAGGTCAACACATAGTTGGGGATAATTATAAAATGGAAAGAAATATTTTTCTCAGTTTTAAACTTTTTTTTCAAATGAAAATCTGAGAAACCAAATAAAAGATCCTGAGTAATATCCATAGCATAAATAAAAGAAGTGTAATCTATATAATATATAATTTGCACCAAATAAAGCTGCATTTAACTTATTCTGGCATGTACCTTTTTTTTCCCCAGGTGTGCACATTAACGAGGGAGGACAATCGAGAAATTGGAAAGATACCAGAAGATGAGCAGCTCCACGTCCTACCTCTTTACAAGGCTTCTAGCACTGATGAGTTCGGCAGTGAGGAGAGCCAGCAGGAAAAAATTAAATCAGGAGCCATTCAAGTCCTCAGTACCTTCCGTCGTCAGGTGCGCATGCTTGCAGAGCCCGCCAAGTCTTGCCGGCAGAAGAAACTGGATGCGAGAAAAGCGGCTGCCAACAAGAACGCCATGCTGGAAAGCTCAAATGATAAGGCAGAGAAGGCCCTTTTGGCCAAGTCAAAGGCTGGCACTTATGAGAACACTGTCCAGAGCACTCCATTTACAGGTAGAGTAACATTTTATAAAGACTTTTTTGGGAAACTCCCATTTCAAAATATGGCTCAGTGATACGACCTAAAAATCTTTTTTATTTATATGAGCTTTACTGCGATATGCAATTGATATTGTGATATTAAAATTGTGTTCTTAACCACTGTATTTATGCCCCACCCTGTGTTGTAGTGGTGTACCCAGACTCACACTCAAATGCTTTTTCACAGCACTATTCTAATTAACGAAAAACTGACTGGTGAAACGTGACATGAAATCAGTTTTTCTTCTTACGTTTTTGTCTTCTTTGGTCTTTTGTTTTGTAGGTGCTGTGGGAGCACCCCTTCAGTCAGGTCACCCACCATATCCCCTCGGGGTCATGCCGCAGCAAATTCAGCAACCACAGGGCATGTGCCCCCCTTTCCCTTCCTCACCAAACACTGCTCTCCCAAGGTTCTCTAACAGTCCGGGCTCTTTTCCAGGCTCTTCAAAGCCAGGAAGCATGTACACCGCTCAGCCATCATCACCAGCCAGCCATTTCCTCTCTTCACTTCCAAACTCATACATGAATGGGCCACATCGTCCACAACCAGGTCACCAATGTAACGGAGGAATGCCTGTTGAAAGTTACCATCAGTTCTATGCACCAAAACAAAATCAGCTGGACGCTTATCGCCAACAGCGGCCAGTGTTTTTCCCTGAGCAGCAGTATGGTGTCCAACAACGCTTTGAGCTCAATTATCCATCTAGGTACAGTCAACCAGGCTTCCAAGTCAATGGTTACAGTGCCATGTGTCCCCCTCAGCCCATGAGGCACTATGGTCCTTTTGGCAACAACAGAACCCCAGATGCCCGGTTCATTGACACCCTAACAGGAGCACCCTCTGTTCATGGTGGCATGGATTATGCACTTACTGTAAGTAAAGGCAATCAGTTTGGAGAATACCCAAGTTCATACTTGCCCCAGAGTCCACACATCCCAGGCCGTGATTCCTTCCCTATGCAACTTAATACAGACATGGCCATGCCTAATCCACAGATGCTCCCAGCCCAAATCAGCAGTGGCTGTTTAAACCCTGAAACAGGGTTGGGTCTTCTCAGTGGTGGACATATAGCCTCCAATATTAAGTCGGAGCCTGGAACGCCTCAGACACCCACAATCCCTCAAAAGCCAGAAATGTGGTCAGACAATGAGCACAACTTCTTGGATCCTGAGATCGGTGGTGTGGCTGTAGCCCCAAGTCATGGCTCTGTACTCATCGAGTGTGCAAAACGAGAGCTGCATGCCACAACACCCCTCAAAAACCCAGACCGCAACCACCCAACACGCATTTCCCTTGTCTTCTACCAGCACAAGAATCTGAATGAGGCAAAGCATGGGCTGGCCATGTGGGAAGCTAAGATGGCAGAAAAGGCTCGCGAAAAGGAGGAAGAGGCTGAGAGGAACGGCGGGGAAGGGACTCCAAGCAAGGGCAGCAAGAAAGGGGGGAAGCGGGAGCATTCAGAGTCTTCAGAGATGATAGGAGAACCTCCATACAAGCGTTTCATAAAGGCACTAATGGAAGGATCATCGTCATCGTTCACAACTAATACTCACGTCATCACAACTCCATATGCATTCACCAAGGTCACAGGGCCTTACAGTCAGTTTGTCTAGAAAACAACCTCTTAGGAACTTGAAGGTGCTGCAACCCAAACCACGTGCATCAAATCACTATCTGCAACCTTGGGATGGAAAAAACAAATGTGCTATGTTTCTCAACTCTCACTCAACTGAGCTTTACTAGTTGATCCTACTGAGGTAACTATTGCAATACCAGACAAACAGTGGTGCTTTTAGTCTAACACACAAGGAACTTTTTCAGCTGGAAACAAAGTTTCTTTTAATGGTGGCTTTATTTTTCTTACACAATTTCTAATATTTGCATAAAACACTGACTTTCAAAAGTCTAAGACTCACGGTGCTGAAAAGTATGCTTATCACCACTTTCAAATGCCTTCACACTAAAACCAGAATACACTCTACAAGAGACTCACAGTTCATCTACTGGTAACTGTCTAAAATCACCCGACATCATCCATCATTTCTAACAAGTCAGTGTTTCTAAGAGCACTTTTTAAATTTTTGAGTTTAATGTTTCAGACATTAAATTAAAAATTACAATCTGATCATGCTGCATAGCAAATGTATACAGGTGCATCTCAGTAAATTAGAAAACCTTCAAAAATGTTATTTATTTGAGCAATTCACAGCACAGCAGTTAAACCCATTTAATAGCTCCGTCACAGGGTGGCGTATCTGAAATGTTTCTTTCTGTTGCTTTCAGTGATTATGGCTTACTGCAAATGAAAACTAATTTATTAACTTAGCTTTTCTTCATACAAAAAACAAAGTTTTTTCATATTGAAATCTGGGTCTATATTGAAGTATGTCTTTGTTGAGGCTTTTTCCATGCATTTCTGCATCAGTACAGTGTTGCATTATTCTGATTAGACCGTGGCTCTACTGAGGTGCTTCCGTAAACAGCAGCCCCCTGCTCCTCTTGTTTGGTGCTTCTGGTGGTAATACTCCACAGGTTGTCTGTGGGTTTTAGATCTTTGAGCATCTCCTTAAAAGTCTCATAATGAAAGATCTAATGATCATTTTAAGGCCTTACTATGGATTGTAACAAACCTTAAAATTTAACAGGGTGTTTGAGATTGTTCATTTGCTCTTTCCCCTCATTTTTGGTTTTGATACTTATTTTGAGTAAATGTAATTATTGTATTGTACTTTTCGGTAATACAGCTGCACTATTTAATGTAAAATGAAATGCTATGTAAAAGTTTTATCTTAAGAGAAATATTTGTGCTTGTGAGGCTTTTCTTATACACTTTTATAGCCATATAGTCTTTTAAAAGTTTTTTAATGCTTTTTGAGAACATCAGCAATGTTTTATTATTATTTTTGTTATTGGAATAGTTACAAGCGAGAGAAAATAAAAATTAGGCCAAATAACTCATTGCTATCTGATACCAAGTCAGCAGTACCCATCATGATTGCGTAAGCCAGTTTATATCCATATCTGTTTCAAAACCCTTTTTTTAAACAAATAAAAAAAAGGCCTTATATAGAAGAATTTTATCTCATTTATTTGTTTGCCGGCAGCCATAGCAATCTGAAGTAACAGAAAATTGTGATATATGTCAGACTGTCAAAATGAATTTATGAGTCATGTTTTGAATTCACATGATTAAAGTTCCCAATAATATTGTAATTTATGGAGATGCATCTGTTGTACTTAGTTCAAGTACCTGGAAAGAAAATTAACTTGTCATCTTATTGGTGCTTTTTTCACTATCTGGTGTAATTTATTCTGTAAAATTGAGCCATTCATGTGGTGCATTCTAAACATTTTGGGGACAAAAATATATATATATTTTCTCTTTAGTTTTTAGCAGGTTTAGTTTGCTGTTCTTTGTGACTGTTTTTATAGCTCCTTACTGTAGATTCTCCAAATATCCTGGCTTGTGAATATTACATGTAGTTTTATGTCTGTGGTGCTCAGTAAATGTGCTTATATACACTGAGGAACACAAAACAGGGTAAGCTCAGTGTCAGAGGGCAGCTGACTTGCTGTAGTGATCGAATTAAGATGGACAGGTGAGATCTGTACAGTAAATTAATTACCCATATTGGACTTTGGGGATTTATGTTGTAAATTATGCCGGGTGTCATTGTGTTTCTTTAGGTTTCAACTGATTAATTTTAACAAGGTGCTATTCAGCCTAATAGAAATGTACAATGTGAAACTTTTGACAAAATGAAAAGGCGTATAAATAATGTACAGCATAAACCTGTCATACCTCAAAACTAGCTCGGTAATAGGATTATTACATATCGCTCATTGTTTGTGTGCTACTTTCACAATATTAGGCCACCAAAAGGCAAAAGGAAGCTCTTGTTTATACTTTCAGTGTGCTTTGAAAGTATTAGTTGAACTTTAATATTACTGTAAAATCAGGGACATTCTTAACTAATTATGTGTGCGTCTTTTGCAAATTTGTGTTAATCACTTTTGTTTTTGTTTAAACAGCCAGGGACTCATTCTGAATCCTGGTTGTGTTCTTGTTTAATGGATTTCACATAAGTTCAAATGAAAAACAGATGCTGTCCTGCAGAATTTCTATTTTAGCTAGTGAGAGGGTATTTTCTTCAAAATTAATCAACATATATGCACTCAGTTGACAAAAGGGAAAGATATTGACGAAGTTAAAGCGGTCTGTTTGCCTTTGCTACGCAAGACCACAGTAGTGATTAATGTGACTGCACGTTTTGCGTCTGCACGTTAGTAAATTTAATTTATAACCACTGAGCAACTTAATTATTTCTTCCAATTAATTATGGCAATTTAACTGAGTATCAGTCATACTTTTAACAAAAGCTCTCCCCAATTCTTTCACATATTGATTTCTTTGAAAGCACTTCATTTATTTTTTAGTAAAAGAAGTATGTAGTAAAAAAAATTTAATGTTTTATTTAAATAAATAAATTGTACATGTGTTTAAAAAAAAAGATAAATTATGTTACATTGTACATAGCTTGAATTTGTATTGCAGGAGTACAACTCACTGACATTCACATTAGGCTCTTTTTATTCTGTCAAATAAACCCTTGGCTCCACATATGACCTTTAAAATAAATTCAAAAATTAATAACTGGAGCGTCTCAAGGTGAATGAAATGAAATGATAATGGATTATCCAGGAAGTTTTATTAGTTTTTTTGTAAATACTACACTCACTTTCACAGCAATGTTTACAGTAATAGAAGCTAGCTCAGTTCTTTAGAGGCCCTGGTTTATAATCGTTTTGTAAAATGAATCTTCATGATATTAAATAAAAAAAAGGTTGGATATCGTTGTACAGGACCCAGCTACAGTAGCAGGTTGTCGATGAGAAAGCCGAGGCACCAGAAGCGGGTTTAAAGCATAGCCATACTTGAAGATGCTTCAGAGTGTTTCTGAGTGAGTCAACTTTACTTGAATGACTTTCCTGACTTAGCCTGTACATTTTATGTGCTGAATTCAGCCAGGTTAAGCCAGCTGTTTGTACACACTTGGTCTTTTTGCAGTTAGACACTAAAAAAAATAGAAAAAACTTTTAAAAAGTAAAACAAAAACAAAAAAAATCATAAAAATTTTGCCCAAGTTCTCTCGAAGTTCGGTATGCTAAACCAATAAAATGAGGTTGGCTGTTAATACTGTAAGTATTCTAATGTACTGGATGCAGTTTATTTGAAAGCTGTTAATTGTATCATTCCTGATGTTGCCGACATGTGGGTGTTCCTTTTTTAAATAAAACTTATATTTATTTAAAGCAACAAGCTTCATTTTTTCCCCGACCCTATTAAGGTAAATATTAGAAACATATTCCTGCTGTATACAAAATGTGTGTAGCTGAAAAACCAATCTAATTTCTGGTCACTGTTCTCAGGTGAGTACATACTTTACTCAAAGTATTACTAACAAATATTCCCCAGTGCACAACCAACTTAGTTGTTCATTTAAAAGGAAAATAACAGCCAAAAACACAAGTGTTGCATGTCTTTGTTGGCCCATACAGTTTATATATGACATGTCACAGCAAGTACATTTAAAAAAATAAATCTGCCTGCATACAAGAAAAAGTAGCAGGATACATGATACTTCAATTCATGTTAAGATGATTTGATGTTTCCAAGGGAACTTCATACGAAATGCCATTTGTCCACTGCAGGAGACAAGAAGATACTTAGGATGAAGTCAGAAATTTAAGCACAGAACAGGAGTCTGAAAGATACAATTATTTCCTGCTTACCTTCTGCAGACACAGGATGTGCACTACCAAAAGCAGGAGCCTGAAAGTGAAATCATTGAATTGCGGATTACTAAATTAGATTCCAAGTCGGATTTACTATCTCCCCTCTTCCCAGATATACACATACTTTCAAGAGTATGATGTCATTTATTTGGAGGATAAAGTATTTTCTTACTTATCTATTCCAGGTTTCAAAGGTAATTAAAAACATGACTTGCATGTAAAAGTTCAAATTTTGTTGTTGATTTTGTTTAATCCATTCCTAGTCAAAATTACACTTACAGGCTTAAATATCAACATATGTCACCACTAATGTTAAGTTAGATGTCTGCAGAGGAACTGCTAAATTTTTCAGCCATAAACTACTTTCTCTCTGGATGTTTGACATTTTGATAGAATTGGTTGGTTTGCTGTCACTAGCAGGGTTCATAAAGATTAAGGAGTTTAAGAGACCCAAGGTTAATGGGTTCTTGCCATTCCAAAAGCAGTATGGAAGTATGTTTGGGATTGTTGTCAAAACAAAACTAATCTAATCTAATCATCGGATCCAAACCGCCATCCTCCATTAAAAAAATGCCACATACAAGAAACAGAAAGGCTGAAACCTTTCAAACTGAAGAACTGCTGTAACACCAGTCATTTGCCACAGTGAAGTTTTAACATAAAAACTAAAGATTTCTACTATGAGACACCTGCTGGCTGAAATGTGCATCACATGGAGAAGCTGAAAGCCTTCAGATGAAAGGTGCATGGTCAAGAAAAGCCCAGGTTTGAACTATTTGAGAGCAAGTGTGCGGAAAGGAATCGAGGAGAGATTTCTAAACAACAAAACTCTGCTCAACTATGAAGAACTACAGTGGCAGCACTAAGCTGAGGGACAAAGGTATTAGAAAATCACAGCTTGGGTAAAGTGCCAGAGTTCATACATATTCAAAATTCAATATTTTTCCAGACTCAAATTTCACGATGTTTTTAAACGTAATTATAGTTCATTAAGTATCTGCTCTGGAAAAGAGTAGTTTACTTTCTTTTGCCACAATTAATTTTGTAGGAAAAGCACAAAATTAATTTGACATGTATAGCAAAGATGATTTGATGTTCATTTTAGAACCAGATCCATCTACCACTGTTGCTGCCATAAACATGTTTTGAAGCTCTCACCGACTGAACGACAGCTCTGGCCTCATCGCAGCTGAACTGGAAAGGACTGTTACAGCAGGTCAAGTTTTTGCTGAGGGGGGAAAAAAAATGATCCAAGTTCAACTTTATGTTATCCATTTCACATGCACATACACATCTGTTTTGCTTTACCACTCAATCCCTCCAGCATTTGTTTGCTTCTGCACAAGTGCCCTCCAGTGCTCATGGGTGGACCTAATGATCTCAACTGCAAAATCCTGTCAGCAGAGAGAAATCCATTTCAGCACATTTGGTCTGAGCTGCCGCGCCAGTCCACCAGCTGCTGTGCTCTGTTTATTCTCAAACCTGACCTTGTCTTTGAATTCCCCGTTGAATCCAAACTGGTTTTCTGGCTTTCCATCGGGCATCTTGTATTTCCTGAACCACTCAACAGTAGCCTCCAAATGACCTGGTCGGCTCTTCCGAACATCTTCTATACCTGAGGGGAGGAGGGGAAAACCGTGCAAGTTACACATGAAATGTAACTTACAAAGGCAAGTTTCTCATGATTCTAAGAATTGGCCTTAGTGGAAAAATACAAAGCAATGACAACACACACAATATGTTTAAAGCGCACCGAATATTAATAAATCCATGTTGACAATAAAAACTCAATGGTTATAAACTATTAAAGAACAGAGAGCTAATGTGGTGGTACTGTATGTGCTGCTTGCTATCACTCAGTATTAAAAATGTGTGTGAATATATTAGAATATGAACAAAATGTTGATTCAATTCAGCTTTTCAATCCAAATCATAAAACATGTGTTAAATACATTCAGAACTGTGAAATTAAATAAGTTAGATTATTATGGCTTTCTGCTATTAAATAACCCAAATTATGGTTACTACGATAACAAAAGCATTACACCAGATGATTACAAAGGATAAGTAATACACAGTAATGCAGATGGTCACCGAGACCCTTCACAAGACAAAAAAGGTTATTGTTAGAGAAGTTGACTGCTCAAAGTGCCACATCCAAGCACATTATTTGGAAGGAAACAATAAGAGATACAGACACTGCATAAAGAATGCCATCTCAAAATGTAAGGGCCATTTTTCCCTTGGCCTTCACCTGGAGTCATCTTGCCAAGAGTTTGTTGTGGACTTGAGCAGCTTGGTGTGCTTTTTCTGTGTGTCTGCATCCAAAAGGCCAGAGTATTAGTTTATGGTGGAAACCTGGAGGGCTTCTCTGCACTTTTTGTTCCAGCGCTTTTGCTCCTGTTAAGTTGTAAGACAGGGAGCTCAGTCATTCCAACTTTATTTTTTGTTGACTAATTGTTTGGCTTTGCCCTAATTATAAAATACTTGATTTTTTTTTTCAACTGACATTAACTACCTAGTGATTAATAGTTTTATGTATCAAGAGCGTGTGCCAGACAACATGCTGTGTATCTTATGGTGTTGTAGCTACAGCTAACCAAGCAGCCTGCACCAATACCTCTGAGCAGAGTCATAGGCCATACCACATAGATATAACAATTCATGCAAAAGGAGGTCTCCATCTCCATTTTTATGTTTTTAAGTATAACTTAAAATTCCTTCTTAGAATAACAACATTTCTGTATCAAAAATATTATATGTGTTGTAGCTTTCAAATTTTAAGATTGTAACTATATTTTGGGGTTTAATTAAATGTAAGCCACAAATTAACAGAACAGCTGAAATATCAGTCTGTAAGTGACAAATTTACATATGAATTTGACATCTTAAACTGAATTATCTTAGCCTAAATCCTGCCAGACTCCATGTTTTCCTTTGGTATAATAATAAACATTCATTCATTTATTACATAGAAGGTGAACTTCCACAATAGCCAATCTTCTCATACTCTCCAGATCAGCAAAGCACAGATTTAATCCAGAAGCATCCTCATGACTGTTGTGAACTTTTGCTTACGACACTCACAGTTGAGCTTTTCAGCATCTTGATCATTTGCATTGATGGCGATGACCTTCCAGTCCATCTCTCCCTCATCAATCATTGCCAGGATGCCCAGAACCTTGACTTGGATCACCTGACCTGGGGAGCACACCTGAAGTTGAACAGTATATCAGGTAAAGATCAGATACAGAATCCAAAAGCACACATTTCTTTTTATAGGCATGGAGATAAATAACAGCGTATATAGAGATCTGCTTACCTGGGTGCCAATGTCACAAACATCAATGGGGTCATTGTCACCACAGCAGTTAGTTTCTTTGTCTTTGTGGTTGGGATCCTCCCAGGTCTTTATAGAGGTAAAGTCCACAGGCAATAAAGAACACAAAAAAGTCTAAATCTTCTCATAAATATTCAACAACTAACAAAATACATACTAAAATGTCTGGATTTAAAACTAGTACTTAAGTAAAGTATTCCCAAACTATCCCACCGCCCCATAGTGTTTTAAGGATTGCACTCGATTTCTTTAAACAGAAGGAGGAGAGTGCATTTTATAAACTGCTGTAACAGATATAATAAAGTCTAAAGTGAAGCATCTAAAATTAGTGCACTTTATAGCAGCCGTCTTGAAGAAACTGCAGACTTCTCCTGACCTGTGGAAGTGCCCCATAGTTCCAAATGTATCCTTTATGAGGGAAAATGTTGGCCACATATCTGAGTTTTCCCTTCTTCACATCTTGTTTGATGGGATTCAGTGGCTCCTTTGTTGCAATCTGGAAAAAGAAGTGATAAATACTGTCATCTCTAAAACATGCATTTACAACAGAGATGCACACTGACACGTGTGACTCAGACTGAGAGCCTTGGTTCAAATGAATTAATCGTGAAATGAAATGAAAATGGCCGTACGCCTGCTTTAATATCAGACATCTTTGATTCATGAGGGCCACTGAGAAAAAGGACTTGCAATGAAAATGTCGAACAATTATAGTTGGAATTTTCAACAACAATATTGTAATTCCCAATATCCTGCTGAGTATTTGTACAAATGAGACTCAATATTCTGCTAAGGAATATTGAGTAATTTAATTTAAAATGTAATATAAAAAAATCAAAGAGTGAAAGCCTATAAACTAGTTTATGCAGAACTTTGTTGTATGTTTGAGAAAACTGTGATGGGTGACATCTAAAGATGTCCTCAAACTAATCGTCATTTTAATTTTATTTAAAAAAAAAACATGTAATGAAATGTATATAACCTGCATATATGAGGATACAGGGAAGCTTTTCGCTTACTTCCATTTTAGCATTTGACCACCGAGGGACTTCAACCACCATGTTGTACAGCACCTGGAAGTGAATAAGCAATAACTGCTCAAACTGAGGCATTAAAGGTCCACTTGCATAAAACAGTCTGATAATGAATTTAAACAAGATAATACCTCATTCTCACTCTTAGGTTTTTTTGCTGGCACGTCATCATTCTACAGGGAAAGAAAAATCGCAGTCATTTTTGGTTTAAATGTCACATTTTCAACAAAAACGACAACCAGAGCTGTTAGTGAGTTACCTGCTCCGACTCAGCTATAAGTGGAATATCATGGAAAGGTGAAATGTATTTGCCATCAGAAGTTTCTAGGAGATAAACAGATTTGTTAATAAGCAACAAAAAAGGCAAATAAGGTAAAAAGCTGCATGCATAAAAATCACCCCATAATGAGTAAATTTAGCTAACAAAGAATTAAAAATTGCTTTGCTAATTTACTTTGTTGTAGTAAGAATGCTTTTTGTCAGTAAGTCAGTGTTGTCATGTTGGAAAGTTCCAAAACAAACATAAAATCTTTTACCAATCCAATAATAGCTTATTCAGCTACTGACTCTTGTTTTGAGTCAAGAAAAAAGACATGCTGACAATTTATTTATTCAACAAACAGTCGCCTCCGTAGCTTAAGGAATAATTGCTGACAGTCACAAAAGCCTGCCGCCTTCTGCTCTTGCTGATCACCAGGTTGGCCAGACACTAATTCCCCATCAAACATTTGCCCTAAAAATATTTGATGCACATTTTTAGGACTTGTGTTCAATGGCGTTGCAGTCTGCAGGCAGGTCATTCCATCCTTTCCACTCCCAAATGTTGGTGCTAGTCTCTGGTTAACCTCATTGTCTTGGGGACCTGGGAGTAGACATAAAGGACTGACTTTGACTGTATGTTATAGGGAAGCTGCCTGTCCATACTGAATGCATACTGGCTTTGGCAGAGATAATTTGGGGATTTTTATTTTTTATGGGCAACACCGAAATGCATTCACCTCACAGATAAGTTAAAATCATAAGCAAGAATGCTTTATTTGTTTCAGGATATGATCTAATTGTGTGACAATACATGTATTAAACATAGTATTTTGTATTAGTGATCTCATGGTTCCCAGAGCCCACTTTACTGCATTTCTCAAAAGCTTTTATAAATTGCATTCAATCCTCAGCATGACACTGCAGAACCTCACTGTCTCGTTTATTTAAATCAGCCAAAGGGAAGCATAATATGCACCTGGGACTATGAATAATGGCCTACATGTACACGCCCACACTACTTTATTTGTGTTTTTACAAGTTTGAATCCGATTGTTCTTGTGGACGTTTTCCAAATTTACACATTGGCTCTAATGTTAAAGAAACGCAACACGACCACAAAGAACCTGCAGCTGGAAGGTCAAACACACCATGGCTACTTAAGAGACCCGGGCCAGTTTTCTGTACAGAAATCAAGCTACGCCGTTACACACGGGGTCCATTCATCATGGCGGAGATTAACTTACTAAAATAAAGGCGGTAGTCTGGAGAATTCGGGTGTCCTCTCTGCTCCGTTTGATAGTGCATCGTTTTACTGGAATAATACAAACGTGGTACAGCTGCTGCAGTTCGTCTGACCGCTTTATTAAGACAGGAAGCGGGAAACGGGCCGAAAACAGTCAGCAGGAAGCCGAACGAGGAGGGGAGCAGCCGCGACCTCATTGTAATACACAGTTTCCCCCTGACTGTCAGTCACTTCCTGCTTCCTGTCCCGCGCGCGTGCGTCCGAGAAATGGAGCAGGGAAGCTTCCTGTTACATTTTCATAGTAAAAGGGATCTGGTAAAATCAGTCAATCGATAAAAAGCCTTTCTCCAACACTATCAACTTTAGACTACAACGATGACAGAAAGCGATAAAGTGCTTGCAAAATTCAAATAAATTTATAAATCACTTTATACATTTTAATGGATTGTTACAGCAACTCAGCCAATTACATGGCAGCAACTCAGTGTATTTCAGTGGGAAGTACTTGGATACAGGAACAGAACAGCCACTAAGTAATCTATATGTGTTTGCTCAGTGTTAACAATAATATAATACTGCTTTACATTACTGAAAAGCTTATTGACTCTATTGCATTCTCTGCCCTTCTGCCACAACTACACCTGTAAAGGTATAGTGTAGTGGCACCTTAAAAATTCTACAAGGTTATTCTTGCCTTGTAGGATTTTACACTTGCAAAGATGTAGTCGTGACAGAGAGAATGCTACATTTGCAACATCTATGCCAACGCGGCAACCCATTGGCACGTAGAATTTAAAGCTAAGTCCAATCTTCTCATTGAGTCAAACTCTTGCCTGGTAAGGTTACAAGTGAGACATGTAGCTGTTTGTGTGACAATCCACATTAAGATATTCAATAACTACCAGAGCTTCCTTTGCCTTAATCTCCCCCCAACCTACCCTTTTGTTCTCTTTTCTTTGGAGGTTTAATCGCCACAGTGCATCATGATCAAAGTCCACACGTGCATATATACCTTGGGCAAACACCCCACCCACTCACCTTGATGTGCCTTCTTTATAGTTGTTCACTCTTCAAACAAATGACGAACACAGCTGCCAGCATAGCTGCCATAAAAGCTGGTTCATCAAATATCTTTCAAATGCATTTCATAAATGTCACCAAAGGAGCTTTGAGAAAAATCTGCAGAGGTAGATTCCAACCTGAAACGTGGTTTTAATTTTGGGATATTTTTTTGGGCCTTGGGGATTGAATGGGCCTTTTAAATTTAAGTGTTCTTATCTGCCTTGTTGAAAGACAAAGTAAGTCTCTGTCTTTCAGCAGGTGTAACAAACTGCACTAAATATTAAACAAGATGCTCATGTAACTCTGTCGGCACAGAGCATTTATTCTGCACAAACAGATTATGCTGTTTACTCTCTTGTGTGTTTCTTCACAGTGTTTGATTCTGTATGTCCCACCTATAAAAGTGCTCCCTGGTGACTCAGTACTATGCTTTGCTAGTGAATGTAATTTATATGTGTTTTATAAAGGTAGAAACCAGGAAACTAATGCCTAACATCAACAGACTACGTGGACTCGAGAGTATTGACCGTTTCCATGAATGACCTTAGAATCTGGCAGTCTTTCATAAACCTGTGACTCTACTGCATATGTGCTTTGTGTTTCAGCAGCGCGTGAAGAAAGGCTACCTGAGGTAAATATGTCTCCAGCTTCCTTCCCGCATGTCTTCTACTGTTGCATAAGTAATATAATCTCCAGCTAAGCCAGACTGACGCATGATTTTTTTGTGCATTTTAAGAAATTCTATGTAAGACAGCATATATAGCACTCTAATATCTAATAATGTTTCTATGGAACAATGCTGTTTGGAGAGTAATAATATGGGATTGTTGAGGAGCGTCAAGGAGAAATCCTTGTCTTCACTTGAATCATTAATGAGTTATATCTCAAAGGGATAGCCCAGTCAGTTTCAAGATGGGCTTAACTTGGATGTGGATGACTTCCTGTCAAGCACTGTCCGACCAACACTGAAGAGTTGGAACAAGAAGATGCCAAATAAATGGCTAACATCCAATTGCTTAATTAAATCTGCTGTTAAAATGCTAACTTAGGTTCAATTACATTACAGCTTTATTCACAGAAGGCATCTAAAGTTAGAAGGCTTCAAGAGTAACCAGAAATGTGACAGCCGGCCGAAGGAGAAACTTGAGTGTAGATTAGTGATGTAGAATCTCTTTTTCATACAAAAACAATTTGTGCATGTAATTTGAAAATCGAAGTTCCAAAGTTTGAAGGTAGAGTAGAGACAGAAGTGAAGTTGCTTGAGGTTCAATGTTTCCCCTGTCAGATATGATTTGGGGTGCCTGCTGGCTGTTCATCAACAGTCCAACATCAGCAAAACTGTCTACCAGAAAATCTTAGCGTACTCCACGGTCTCTTCTGGTGACTTTATGAAGTTTGTCATTTCAAGCAGTACTTAATACCTGCCCACTCTGCCAAACGTAGTGGTATCTGATTTGATCACCATGGTATAGACCAGTGGTTCTCAAACTTTTTTCAGTGATGTACCCCCTTAAAAATATATTTTTAGTCAAGTACTCCCTGACACGGGCAAAACATTTTTGGAAGAAAAAAAACAGTGCTGTAAAATCACTGATTTATTAAAGCCGAACACCTTATTTCAGTGAACCTGACAAATACATCCATATTGCAAACGTTGCATGTAGAAACAAAAAAGAAAAACAGAACACAGTGACCACCAGGAAGGCATAAAACCAGTCAAAACTGAAATATGCAAAACACTGCTAACTTATATTGGTCTCTGAAATGGTACAAAATTAAATATATTGTAGGGTTGCAATCAAAAAAATCAAACAAAGTCCAGAAGTTGTAGAGCTCTCATTTGTTTTATCTTTTTTTCCAAAAACATTTCCATCCAGTTACAGCATGACATGTTCACACACAAGAGGGAGAGTCCCGATCTAACACACCTGCCTTTTAAAGCATTGGCTCTTCCTTGACTAATTAAGGGGTGGAGTCAACATTTACAAGTGAAAAAAACATTTGTACTACACTATATTCCTAGAAAGAAATTTACATTTCAACTAACAACCTTCAAAACTAAAACAAAAACAATCTGGGCCCCAAATTAAATCCAAACACATCTCCCTTCCCTCTCAAACAATAGATTCTGAGGTTGATTGAAAACACCAGGTCCTTGTCAGCACTGCTCATGGGCGGGCTTCCATGGCAACACCTGACCAGGTGACCTCAAAGAGAAGAAAAGTGATTAAAACAAAAACACCAAACAAAGCAAGTTGCTTCCTCCAAACAAAATACAGTTAATAAATAAATTGGAATATAGCAGCACAAACACATCACCTTTTAGGGAGGGGTAAATCCCTCACATATATACAAAAATAACTAAAAAGTGTTCACAGAAATAAATCTATAACTTAATTACAAAATAAATTATATTTTGTTTCCAAAATAAATTTACTTTATAAATAAAGATTTGCTCGCAAAAAAAACAATAAACGTTACCTCTTTTCAGATAAAAAAAGAAGATTGCACTTTAATCACTTTGCATTGAACATTTGATTCGGTTTGAACAGTAAGTTACGGTGTCATTAGACAGAGTTTTTAATGTATCCGCTGATTTTTTGCACAGGATAGTTTCAACAGCAGCGGGGAGCAACAGGTCTTCCGCTATGGTGAACGGTTTTTTAGCTTTAGCAACGAGCAAAGACACCGCGTAAGAAGCCTCCGAGGCTTTGGCTGATGTAGTGGAGGCTTTTCGCATTGTGGCTTTGAATGACTTGAACTCAGAAAGTTTTCTCCTGAAGAACTCCGGTGTCTTACCAACATGGCATCCATGTTTTGTGGTGAGATGCCGCTGGAGGTGTGCCGGCTGCATGCTAGCCGGCTGCATGCTAGCGTTGGCTAATTTCTCCCCGCAAAAAACCCCCACAGTGCCTGGGGGGTCAGAGATCGTGGACGTAAATCCCATTAAAACATACTTTTCCATGTATGTTCTGTACTTCGTCGGCTCTGGTTTTGCCTTCTTTTTCACTTTATCTGAACTTTCAGCAGCATTGCTGCTAGGCTTTAGCCACGTCTATTTTAAAGGGTATTGAAACTAAATACTGAATATAAAATTCAGTGCATGAACACACATTTATACTTTATCGAACTTTTTACAAAATAATTTTTCCCAAGACTTATTATGAGGAGCCGACTGATTTTTTAAAGATATTTTGAAAAGCTTCACGTACCCCCAGGGGTACGCGTACCCCCATTTGAGAACCACTGATAGACTAATCACCGGCATGTTACGCTGCGTTGGTGCCACAAGAGGCGGCCCAGCTACTGTAAGTACTGAAAGTGATATGGTGGTCAGCACGTGGTCATACTTTGGAAGAGAGCAATATTTCTGTATTTAAAAGGATATCTTGTTGGGGTTTCTTTTTTTTAATATTCTAATTTTCTGAATCTTGGATTTTAATTTAGCTACAAGTCATATTAAACAAAATTAATAGGAATAACTTTCTTTGTAATGAGTTTATGAAATATAAATTTCACTGTTTGTATTTAATGAGTGTAAATGAACTTTTAAATAAAATTTTAATATGGAAAGATGCACCTTGTTTATGGCTAAATGCATAGGATTTCTAAAGATGATCTCATTCAGTTTTGTGTAAACATTAAGCTGAATTTCCCAGTTTGTTTTTACAGCCAGGCCATTTGCATGACTGCCTTATTTAACTTCCTCATCAGCAGTGGCACCTTGTCAGTAAGTGAGAGGCAGCTTTTCTTTCCATTTTGTTATAGTGTATGAGCAAGGAGATGACCTCAATAGTAGTTTCTTCCTTTAAACCCTCTAAATAAAGGTACGGTACAAAATGTCCTTTTGGTGAGGAGATGTGATGGCCTAAAGAGAGGAAAAGCCTAGGCAATAAGTGCAGAGGTGTGGCCCTCGTGACAGGTTCATGGGGAGGAGCTGAGCTACCTGTGCTCTGCAGGCAGTCAGGACACATTGAACACTACACCTGTTGAACTTCCCAGGCAGTCTCCCTCTTTCAACCCTCCTGTTCTCTTTCACTGACCTGAGGAAAGGGGGACCTCACCATGGATCCCAAGGAGGCCAGTGGGGGTGAGAAGGACAAGGAAAGACATATAAAAAGAAAAAACCGCCCTGTGTTCCTGCGGTACCTGGAGAGGAGAAAGACGGACACTATAGTGGCCGATGACATGGCCAAAGGTGACATCAACCTGGGGACGCTGGTGAGGAGGAGTCAGTCTGACAAGACGGAGTACAGCGCTAAACTTAAAGGTACAGCAGCTAAAGATGTTCCCAAGTGACAAAACTATAGCAACTAAAGTGTCTCAGTGCAAAATTATACCTGGAAATGTAATAGATGCACAATAGACAGGCGGTAAAAACAGCATCCATGGCTTAAGGGAGTGGGGGAACTTTAACACTGCACCAGCCAGTAAGTGTGCTCTGCTCTTTATTGGTCACCTGTTGTGTTACTGTGTGCTGAGAAAGATACTCCCTCAGGGATGAAGCCACATATGCAAACTGTGCCCCGTACCCGGGCACTGAGGAGTGGCCTTTCAGGTATTCCGGACTTGCACATAAACAAGACATTAGATGGGATGACTGGAAAAACTGACGTAATGTTATTTTGATAAATTCAAGACGTTGGAACAATGAGTCCCTAGATTTGTTTTCATTTTATGCAAATGAAAAAGGTTCAACTTAAGAACAAATTGAACTTTAATAAGTGTGGATAGACATAAGTTACAAAAGTAGTAATAGCAATAATGGGATTACAACTACAGATGAGGGTGATTAATTTTAGCACATATCTACTCTTCAGAAAAAAAAACTGGCTCTACCTGTCCTAGAGTGCAGTCAGCCTCTGGGAATGCTGCACTTCAGGCAAAATGACATTTACTCTCAGCAGGGGGATTACAATCACTGAGTGAACTGAAGTATGTTGGCTTTCCTGCACCACTTGTTCCTCAGCTTCCTCTTCTGTGAACAATGTAAATCACATGACATACTGACCGCAGATGCTTTATAAAACAAACAAAACGTAAAAACATCTAAATGCCTGTTTCACAGGTAACTTTCACACACATATACACACACGTGCCTATTTATGCTTGCTTTATCAACAGCAGCTTTGTTTACCTGAAATAGGACCACTCCACTGACCCTTTGTACTATTTTCTTGCCCAGCCTGTATCATGGTGGGCAGAGTTGTCAAAAACACACACAGAGGTGTTTTCAGTCAACCTTAAACCCACCCTGTTTTAGATTCAGCTGATGAGCAGTATTACATATTTACAGGGGTATTACCAATGCAAATATTGACAGAACGATGACTTCACCAAAAGAGGAAACATGTGAGCTGCTGCTCTCATCTGCCTGTCAGGCAGGTTTGTCCAAAGCATCCATGGAGACATGACATCAGTATGTCTAATCACCTGCAGTCTTTGACATGTGTGATATGGCTCACCACCCAGGGCGACAACCGTCTGCGACTGGCACAAGCATAAAAAGAAAGGAGAAAAGATGATCTGTCAAATTTTGGTCAAACACAAAGTTTTCTGGTATTTCTGACGTTCTGCACAGATTTAATCAGGAAAATATGGTTTTATACTGGTTCAGGGTCACATATGCTGATTAGTACAACTTAAAGTAGCATTTGATTAATAATTTTAAAAACCGGTTGTTTTTCAAATTTCCGTTCTGTTTGAATATCTGTTATCCAAATTCTAAAATACTTAGAATGGGTAGTTATGTAACAACCTTCAGGATATCTTACCATTCCCATAGTTAGAGACCCCTCCATATCCAATGACATCCGAATAAAGTAAAAAGTTCTACAATGACTAAAGACATTTGTAAATTTGAATCGTTTTCAAATATGTCCTCATCCACTTGTTTTTGGAAACTTTCAATACGATTTCTGGTTCCCTGAGGTGCAAATATGAAGCTTCTCTTCAAGATGGGAAAGAAATGTGAACGTACCATTCAATTGAGGCAGATCTGTGTTGATCTTCATACATGAAGAAATTTATTCAAGAAAAAACTATTTGCCCATATATACTCTCAGAGTATGGATCAAATGCTTTATAACAAATGGAACTGTTAACAATAACAGGCTGCATGAGGAACAGGCATTTTAGGTTAAAAACAAATCTCAAGATCTTTTCTTCATGAGATTACTGTCTTGTAAAAACAACAAAAAACAAAAGAGAATTGATATTGTAAATGCTTCAACACAAATTTCCTCAGGGTGCCAGTAAATGTGCAAGCAGTTTTAATTTTAAGACTTACATAAGGATTCATCAGCTTACATTCTTTCCTTCAGGCCTTTGCAACACTTGGCATTTATTGGTATTTTATGGTAGCTTTAACTTTGTACGACCTAATGAAATAAACAAAGCTTAACGATGACAAAAGTTCTTTGCTGTTACCATGTTGGCATTTCATGAGAATAAGAGCAATAACCCACCTATTGTAACCAGCTTTGCTCCAATTTCTACATGCTTTGTTTTCAAATTACTGTTATGTGGAATGATAACTTTCTCTTTGGTGTGTGGAGCAGTCCAAAGTATTATTTTTCCAAAAAGTGCAACACAATCCATCAGATTTTTTTTGTGCTCTTTCCAGCCAAGCACATTAGATCCCTTTCACTGGGCTGAACAGAGAAAACCCTTGTCTCTGCTTTCATGGGAAATCCCGGACCAGAAACCAAACCAAATAGGATTCTGTCAAACTTAAAATGTCCCACCAATTTTTCTGTTTTTCAGTTCGGTAGCAAAAAGAAAAGAAGCTTTCAATGCACATGCTTTTTGTGTCAATTTTAAAATTCAGTAGTGTCATTTCAGCTGGTTTGAAATGAGCAAACTCTCCTTGGGCCTATTTTCTCACAGGTGCAGGTTATCAGGTATGGGATCTTTCTTACTGACAGACAAGAAAAACTGACACATGACACTTCTAATTACAGTTGAAGAACTAGTTACTCATTATGTGTCTTGAGACTTATTAGATAGTATTATGATACAGCATAAAACAAAGAAATTTGTAACAAATACTAAAGTCAGTATGGTTTAATTACAAATTGTGTAACTGCAAAATGGAAGAAAACAGTCATTTACAAAAAAAAATCAAGAGAGTATATTGTATGTTCTTTTATTTATCTGACCCTGTCTGATGTTTGATAAGTTTTTTGCTGCTTTTTTTTTTTAGGGTGACTCAATAGCTGTTTAGCTTCATTCCTTTTCTCATCAACACTGACCAGTTTCTTTGTCACTGCTGAAACAAAGCATCTCATTGTACTGTCACCATCATGTTTCACAATGCTGTGCTTAGTTTTTACCAAACAGGATATTAATATGAAAAAAAAAATATTTTGGTCTGAGCTGAGCTCCGTCGTTCACATTTGATGTGCCATTTACCTGGCTATATTCAAAAAGACCAAATAAAAAAAAGTAAAAATCTTCCAATGCCTAATAAGACATTCTGTAGTGGTGTTATGACCATGACTTTGATGATTGTTGTGCAGAGCTAACACCAGCTTGTACAAACTATGGAGCAGGTAAATGCCTAACTGTATCTAAAGTGAATGCAATTTTTCTCTGGTTTGAACTAAAGTTATTGACACAATACACTGATATTGACAGTATTATACAGCGGATTCCAGCAATTGTGTGTCACAGTTTTGATTCAATAATTTCTGAAACCTACCCAACTTCTGCCCCAGGCATATGAGTCTGGCATTTATGTAAACTGAAAATGATCATTGTATGTGACTTGTTTGGCTGTAAAAGAAAATCAAATCTATGCTTTTACACTGTCCAGTTGGGGATAAAATAGTCTTATTTTCATGAGTATGAAAATAAGAACCTTCTTCAGAAATCAGTAACTGATGTCAAAGAACACACACCACAACCATAATAGTGTATTTACGATCAAATTGAAAACAGCAAGAATTTAAAAAAAAAAAATGTAACCGCGGTGAGCAAAGGTGTGTTTGTAGAACATCTTTCCAGCTGATAAGGATGTGGGTGGATTGTTTACATTGTTGAGCTTGTATCACAGGAAACATTTCACTTGTAGTGGTAGGATTAAAAACTTTATAATATTTGCATAACTTGAAAGGAAATTATTTATATAAGCGCCAAAAATGACAAGAGGATCAGCTTCTACAAGAAGATTCTGAAATAGACCTCAAAATCAACATTAGACAGCCTGAACAGGTACAAGTTCAAAGTTTAGCTCTGCTCCTGACCACCAATCTTTAAAATAATCACAGCATGCAGAAAACCTTAATCCAAGTGTTTGTCAGAAATTATTCATTGAAGAAAGCACATTTAGTAGATCATTATCAGTGATATATTAACAATGATATTAGGTAAACTGAGAAACAGCTTCATGCTAAAATATTATTACGATTTCTACCCTGGGCTCCTACCATTTACTTACTTTTTTTTTTTTTACTTTTCTTCTAACAGTAATGATTTTGCCATTTTTCTTTGACCAAATTATTTTCTCTATAAATTTTGAAATAAATTTAAAATTAAAAACGAAGAACTCTTATTCTGTAACGACAATATAACAAGCGCAGCAATCAAACTAATGTGAAATATTATCATTTGATTATACATATTAAAATATGAATGCGTAGACTATAGTAAATGTCTTTCCAACTTTTTGTGGCTTTAAGTGTGAGTTGGCACAGCAACACATAGTACTGCCGGTAGAGTGAGATCAGAGTTTTGTTTCTGCCATGCTACTATTAGTCACTGCACTTGAATTCATCATAAGGTTCTGCTGGACATGGTCACATGATCCATCCTACAGGCTTCACCCAGCAGGTCAAATATTGTTATGTCACTTTTATCAAATTACATTCTTGGTTTCTGTTGTCTCTTAAATAGCAAAATATGGGGCAAGTATTGCACATGCAACACATCTGCACACATTTTTGTAGACTAGTTATTCACAATAATTGAGAAGACCTTTGTAAATAAGATAAATTCAAAATAAAATCCCTGAACAAATATTGCCAGATAGTTCTAGAATAATTTTCCAAATGGTAATTTTGGCTCTGCCAGAACAAGATGTAAAGCAGTCCTTGGTAAAACCTTAAACCCTTATGCTACAATGTGTTGCTTGAAGCGGATAATACTGTCATGTGCAGTCATGACGATTTGTGTGCACCTACTCACTCATTCAGTGTCACTTTATTAGTGGGTTTCATTATTCCTTTCTGAGTGTGAGTTTGGAGTGCCCCACAAACACTTTGAAAGATCTGAGCAGATGGGATGCCTGAGATCCACACAGGATTGCATCAGCAGCCTGATTAGTTTCGTAACTTGACACGATGCTCGCAGACTTCTGTTTCCTCCCACCTTATTGCTCTCTGCATCCCGAGGAGGAAGCAGCGCTTGGTATCGATTAGGCAGTGAGGAAGCACCGCTCTGCCTTAAACAGACGTCAAAGCCTGCCACAGAACAGCCTCAGACTGTGAAGGCGGCAGAGCGTTAAAAAAAAAAAAGTGAAGCGAGTGAGCCTGACTGGGATGCTGAAGTGAGGCTCTCTGACTTTCATTTGAAGATGATGAGATCACAGTGACATAGTTTCACTCAGGTGTCAAGCTGGTGGTAGAACACTCACAAAAAAAAAAGAGTTTTTAACAAAAAAAAATCAATAATGTTTAAAAATTTAAATAGCAACAAAAGCACAACATTGCATTTCAATAATCTCTTGAGTTGTGTTTTTTTGTTCGGTCCATCGCCAGTTTTTTCTCCTGTCATAATATCAAGCAAAATTTACATTAAATCAATTGACGTGGACTCATTTTGAAATATTCCTTGTCTCCATAGAGAAACTGATGCCACTTGACCTGTCAGCTCTTCCCTCTCCGGTGCTGGACATGGAAGAGATTCGGTCCAGGAAGATGAGCCGCAGGGCGAAAGTGATAAAAGAACTTGTGCAAACTGAAAAGGACTACCTCACCGACTTGGAACTGTGCATCAGAGAAGTCGTCCAGCCTCTACGAGTGTTACAGGTAGAGGAGTCTTAGCTTCAATGTGTCTGTTAACCGATTTAACCTGAACATTCACCTTCAGTCATTAAAAGTTTAAATCCCAGTGTTACTGAACATAGATATTTGCTTAGTTGAAAAAGAAAGTCATTTTAAAATGACTAATTCATTACATCAAGAAAATTAATTTACATGGTCTGAAATACAGATGGGCAAGCTGTGCACATGCAAGTACACTGACTGTTATACATAATGCTGCAGTTCTTAATCAGCACAATGTTTTCCCATATTGTTTGTTAGGTTGTTGATGTGGACCGACTTTTCACCAACATGGAGACGGTGTGTGAGGTGTCTGCAGCTCTTCTTCACAGAATTCATGTGTCCATGTCTGACCCAGATCCAGAAGCAGTCGTCATAGGTACATCTTTCATAGTTCCTGATTCTTTCTTTTTTCTTCCATTAAATGGAAGAAAAAACAAAGCGACTAAAACAAAGGTCCTTTTTTTTCCCTTGTGTGTTTCAGGGGAAGTGTTTATCCAGGCAAAGGCAGCTTTGGAAGATGTATATAAGATTTATTGTTACCACCATGACGATGCCAACACGTCATTGAAGGCCTATGAAAAGGAGGAACAGATAACGCAGCATTTTACTGCTTGTATCTTAGCATTGAAGTAAGTTTTACTAGATTTTCTAAATAATTTAATTTATTATGAATTACAACCTTAAAATTAAACTTCAATCAGTAACTATTTTTCTTCTGTTGTAGAAAAATCTATGACCAAGAGTAAGTAGTTTTTTTTTTCTTGTTTCTTTTGTTTTTTACAAAGATTTTCTCATCATTTGCTTTGTTCTCTCATCCTTCACTGAGTCAAATTTGTGTTTCCACAGAGGAAAACCCAATTTGTTGAACATGGGCTCCCTGCTGATCAAACCAGTCCAGAGAATCATGAAGTACCCATTGCTTCTGGGGGAACTTTGGCAGGCCACCCCTGAAGACCACATTGACTATCTGCCCCTGCAGGAGGCGCTCACCGCTGCCAAGATCATAAACGTTAACATCAATGAGTTCAGGAGACGGAAAGACATAGGTATGAATTTATCCACATCCAAAACAATGTTTATTTAATCAGTCTATTCAATAAATGTATAAACTTGTTTTTTATTCCCTGTCTGGATTTTTTTTTTATTTCTACAAACATTAGTTATGAAGTACAAGAGGTCAGAAAACGATGAAGGCACGTTGAGGGACATGATTAGCAAGATTAACATCCACTCCCTCCGGAAGAAAGGAGACAGGTTCGCAGGATATCTGAAGATTCTCACTGGAGTAGAACCACAGGTAACAGCACGCCGCTCCTCCTTCACTCTCTGCAGACGTAGAAACAGACCAGTGATTGGGCTTAAGAGCAGACATACCAGAGCATTTACTGATCTATGATTGTGTCTGCAGGTGAGGGATGAAGTGTTTGATAAGGAAGAGAAACTGTTCAGGAGTCTGGAGAAAGCTGTGAGGCAACTGGCCAAGAATGTGAACTGTTATGTGCAATACACTCAGGTGAGAACTGAGCTGTTGAAGATTCAGCCATGCTTACTGTGAAGATGTGAAGTGAAGATGTCTGAAAAAGCTTTAAGCTACTAAACGACTCTTACAGAAGCTGAAAAATCCACCCTTTAATCTGAGTCCCTTTATGCTGTGGGAAAGTAGTCCAATGTTAGGAATGGATTATTGTTGCAAAATCCCTTGTGGCACAGCCTCAGTCATCTCTACATATACATTTGAAATAAATACAAAGTTTAATAATGTCTCATTTGTAATCAATGCATTTTGTGTGTAGCTGGGGTTAAAAAAAAACACCTGCTTCTTTTCCTCACTAGGGTGGATATACATGACTGTGCTATTGGTAATTTTGTTAAAACTTAATTCTTAACAAGGGTATTTTCTTCAAACTTAAAAAAAAAATACTGCAATTAAAGTTTGGATTTTCTCTGTGTGATCTTACAATTATGTTAAAAGCCACAAAATCTATTTAACGCTTTTCATATAATATCTTATCAGAGGTGCCTTTATTTGTCACTGGCTCGTATATGACCACTTGTACAGTTATTATAACAAACCTGAAAAATGGGATAGATTTGAGGAGAAAGAAATCATTTTAAATATCCTATCAATTTCCTGAAAGCCTCCACAATTCTCTGCAGGAGATGGTGCCTGTTGCTGTTCAGAACGTGAAGGACATGGAAAACATGATTACGAATCTAAGCAATGCAGACATAAATGGCTCATCACACAAGAATGGCAAAGACCCTTATAAGTACTTTGTAAGGACAACTTTTGTTGCATTTTTGCAATTTGCGAATATGTACTCCTTACTTAGTTACACTTCTTCTTCCACACTTCCCTTTTTCCATCTAACGCTGTTTTTATTATCTGCTTAGTATCGAGCTGTTTACAAGCTGTACCAAGTGAGTTTTCAAACTTGTGTAAATCTACAATTTTCCCTTCCTTCAGAAAGAGCGAATGGAGGAGTTGGTTCTGGTGCCCCTCACCTCTCTGCAGGGCATGTTCACAGCCCCGCAGAAGCTCATCCAGAAGCGTTATGACAAGCTGCTGGACTACTGCTGCCGCCTGGAGCGCTCCTCCTCTTTTTCATCCTCATCCTCATCCTCCACCTCCACCGCGTCGTCCACCACCTCATCAGCGTCAGATGCACCTCCTGGTCCTGCCAAGAGAGACTATGAAGCCATCAATGCTTTGCTTGTGGACGAGTTGCAGAGGTTCAACAAGGCAGCTTATACTATCCTGACAAACTGTGTGCTGTGTCTGGTGGCCCTTCTCAGAGGACTGATGGGTTGCGCTTTGGTTGCAGCTCCGGCTGTTCACCAGCTGCCTGTGAGAATCACACACACACACCCGCAGCTTATTATTAAATGTAGTTTTGTTCATTTGAAATCGATCTAACCTTTGTTTTTCTGTACTTTTAAGCCTCCACTGTCAAACATGGCTGAGGTGCAAAACAGCATCATGGATGAGCTGAACAACCTGACTTTTGTGAAGGATAATGCTCAGAAGCTAATGGAGAGAAAAGTCAGCTTTGAGAGGCAACGAGACAAAAAAACTGTGGTAAGACCATAGAAATGATCATAGATTTTAGGTTTTTATACTTGAAAAGTTGCTCGATGTTGCCTGTGTCTGATTGGCTACTGGAGACAAATAAAGGTTTGCCCATGAAGGGTTTTTTCAACTTTCAGGCCGAAATCTCAAAACTTTACCTTTTTTTTTGGTCTGTCATAACACCAGAAAATTTACAAAAATACACATTTATATAAAATCTCCTAGTCTGAGTTGATTATGCAGTTTTATTTGTCCTTAGACTTGAAGGACAGAAAAGGAGTCTTTACTCCTTCCTCCAGATGAATTCTCCCTCATATACTGATTACTGACAACTCTGTTACGTAGCACCACGCAGAAAATACCCACAGCAAATATTTACACCAACACTTCTCTGTACTGCTCTGTTTTCCAGGTGCAGGAGGTGCAGCATCAAACAGAGGAGCAGCGCGCCTGGCTGCTGGCGGAGTACCCGCCGGACCGCCTCTACCAGCTGAAGAGGAAATGTAATGGCTGTCAGGAGCAGGACCTCAGCCTGCTGGAGGGAGAGCTGGTGGCCTTGTTGGAGGATACAGACCCTTTAGGCAGCAGCAGCCGTTGGCTGGTGCACAACGGAGGCAAGTGTGTGTGTGTGTGAGAGAGAGAGAAAGCAGAGACTTTATTTTTAAACAAAACAAAAAAATAACAGTATGTGGTTGGTACAGGTCCATGCATTTTTTTAGATGACTGAGACTCCTTACTTTACTTTCTGACAAGTCAGCACACAAGAATTAGTCCCAGGAGCTGGCGTGGTGTCATGGTTGGTGGAGTCTCTAGAGCTGGTTGCCTCACAACAGATCCGACTCCATAGCTTGTCTCCCAGAATCAGCTGAGATACCAGCAACCGGTTGGAACAAACTGAACACCTCTGTACTTGTAGTACAAAGTGTTTTCCTCTGGGGATCTGGGAGTCACATGAGGTTACAGGGACTTTTTTCTGACGCTGCTCCCCGTTTTCTGCATATTTGTATTTCTTAGAGGTAGCTACATTCTTTACAGGCCTGGGATTTTCCTTTGGGGAAAGCAGCTTTTGTGGGAAGCTGTTATTATTATTTCTGTTAATAGCAGCTCTGACGTATATTTACACAAAACATAGCTGAGTTTAGGATTGTGCAAACATCACTTCTGCAGCCTCTGAGGTGCTGACAACCTTAATGTCATATGTGCAATGTAGAGCTGAAACGATTAATCGATTATTGAAATAATCGTCAACTCATTTAATAATTGACTAATTGTTAACTGGAATATCATTAACTTTTTGAGCCTTCTCACAAAAAGACCAGTTGTGTTCCTTTCCAGTTGACTTTTATGCTCTTTGTTCAATGTTGTTAATTAATTAATATTAAGTTTACAATTATTAATTAGCTGCAGAAGTGGTAACATCTAGAAAATGTGCTGTATTACTCCTATTTAAGGGTCATAAAGGGGCACCGTTTATTTAATTGGAACAAAATAGAATAGAAATGTCATTTTTTTGTGCAGCAGTGTGAAAATTCGGGCGCAACAGCTGCAAGTTAGATGGTAGCATGCATATTCACAGAGAAATAAAAATATGTAAAAATAAGCATGATACCATACCACTATAGCATAAACAGGTTAAAATAAATGTGCACCTGATTATTTAAAGAATGAAAAATGTACAACAGATTGTTTACAAGAAGTAAAAAAAGCAGCAGTTATTATTTGAAAGGAGAGATCTATGCAAATAACACCAGGGACATAAACAACTATTCAGTTAGTTTGGAGCAGTGAATCTTTTAAAGTATTAAAGCTGATGGGTGGATAAAAACAAATCATACCAGTGTGTCAAAAACAAATCACAAAAAACATGGATTATGACAAATCATGATACTCTGCCTCCATTAGGTGACAAAGGCTATGTCTACTCCACGTTCCTGAAGCAGTACAACCCTCTGAGGGACTCCCAGCGGAGAAACCAGAAGGCCAAAGAGCAGCAGCAGCAGCCTGCTGTCATCACATACGAGGACTTTGACGACCTCAGCCTGTTTGTGTCACCCAGCAGCAGCAGCGTGCGTAGCCTCAGCATGAACACCACAGACAGCAGCTCAACCCTCTCAGGTCTGCAGGGAGACCTGGAGAACGCTGAAGAACTGGAAGAGTCTGTGGATGGTGACACCCAACAGGTGTGTGGTGCTGTCCAGGTGTTTCTGTTGTAGTTGTTTAATCATTACAGTAATGTTAGAATATTTTAGTCTTTAAAATTTTTTTTTTTACATTTTAAAGATAATCGTTAGACTACCCAGTGGAAATAATTTCTATGTCAACGTAGAAAATTAAAAAACAGTGTCCCCTACTGGTTTAAAAAATAGAAATACACCATATGTATTGGACGTTAGAAAGTAAACTATATCCACACAACATATTTGTTGCATTCAGTAACATCTGGATTATGTTTGTCTCCACAGTATTATGCCGTCTATGCATTTCAAGCACGCTGTGAACAGGAGCTGTCCCTGCAGGAGTACCAGCACGTCCGCATACTCCAGTTCTGTGACCTGGGCGGAAACAAGCAGTGGTGGTTGGCTGAGGCCAATGGACAGAAGGGATACGTTCCTGCTAACTACCTTGGCAGAATGTCATATGCATGAATCTAGAATGTAAAAATTACAAAAAGAAAGCAATATTAATAATTATGACGTCATACCAAACATTTATCTTCAGTAATATCGCACATTTAGGAAATTTTGGAATCAAATATTTTGTAACTGTTCAAGGTTACATATTTATCCATTTTCAGTTTAATACCAAAGTCACGAGAAAAGTAACTGCAAGGGCTTTTTTATTGCTGTGTTGCATCAGCTTCTAGTTCATTGTTTTAAATTTATGTAAGAAAACTTTCCTTTTTTTTTACATTTAAAGCCTTACAGAATTATTGGCACTGGTGATAAAAATATCATTAAAAGTGCTAAATACCTATATACCACAGGTTTCTCCAGTACTCCAATGATCAAGCTTTGGAGTTTATTTTTTCTCCATCATCCTCTTCACAGTGGATGATGGAAAGACAAACGTTGTTCCTTGTCTATTCTTTTGCTGTCCGACTTCTAGTTGCTTTAAGGTGTTTTATCATTTCATTGATTTACAGCCAAGTTTAGGCGGCTAGCTATATTGTTATCATTTCCAGATTGGCAAAGACCAACACATATTCAGATTATGGCATGTTCTTTTGATATCCATTTGGAAGAGTAGATCAAAATATCTTTGGTGTCACATCAGTCCAAAAAACAGCAAGTCAGGGGTTACCAATTAAAATGTAAAACACCCTGAAAAACACCTTTAAAAAATTAATTACAATTTACCAAAAATCTATAGTTACACGCGCTTTAAAGGATTTGTTAAGGGTGCCAATGAGCTTAGTATCGTTAACTCTCTAAAAGTATAAAACTTAATCACCACAGGATAAATGTACTCCGATGAAAAGTTGGTTCACTGATTTTGACTTTCAGATGGATATTACTGAAAAAACACAATTCTTAAGATGTTTTTCCAACACAGATTACTTGTGCCAATATGTGTAGAAAGCTCTGTATGTGATAACATTTAAGATCAGAATTTGTCAACAATCATAACATTGTTTTTTTAGACGATAAAGCAAGAACAAGGTTTTTATCTTTTTTGCACCCCTCCCAAAACCCCCAGATCTGTTAACATGTTGAATTTCTGCTTTGTGAATAATGAAACTGCACTTTCTAGATGTAAATGTTTTCAACCACCATGTAGAACTGCTTTGTCTTCATGTGAATGTAGTACGAGAGCTCACCGTTGGTTTTTAACCTGTCATTTGGTTTGGATGAGAGTTCAGATGAAACTGCAGTGCACTTTGCTGAACACCTTTTGTACCTCAGTGTTGTTTATATTGAAGTGATACGATCATGAAGTAATATGTGACTTGATTTAGAGATAATTTATATAAATGAAGAAAATTGTGAAGAATATTTTTTATGATTTGTTCAAAATGTTTTGATTTGCATTATTCATTTTTCTTAAATTTGAAAGATTTAATAAATACAACTAATTTCTACATTTTCTACTCATACTTCCACATGTTTTATGTCGATGAGCCAGTTTTTGGATGGATTGCTGATTGATGGGGGAATGGATAAAGAAGGAAGGAGATGGAACAATGACTGAGATAAGGAAGGTCAATGGGGAGAAAGAATACAAGGAAGTGATTAAACAATGAAGGAGTGAAAGGTGTACAAATGAAGGTCACAAGGAGGGATGGAGAGAAAATGAGAATGGAAGAGTGGCGCAGACACATGAAACATTGAAGGAAAGATCAACAAATGAACGAGGAGTGCTTCAGAAGGTCAGAGGAAGAAGGGGCATGATCAAGAAAGGAAGGGATGAAAACAAAGAAAGGAGAAAATTAAGGTAGAATATAAAGAAGGAAGGACATGAACAATAAAAGCAAGCAGAGAACAAAACAAATAATAGAAAAATTCAGAGGCAAAGACAGAAGAAAAAAAACTGGAGATGAAACGTTTCCCCATCTTATATTTTCTTTGCCTCTAATTATCAAGACAAAAATACTAAAATCAAAATGTTTACCACAATGTGTAGGAATCCTTTTACAAAGCAACAGATATAACCAGTTTGTGTGAAGAGATTATTTATTTACCGGGTTGTTAAAAAGTGACACTTTGCTCACTGGTCACTTTTGTTAGTACAGAAGAGGCACACAGAATCCAGCAGCATTAACACACAGTGAAGTTCAAGTACGTGACTGGATGATGGTGACTCCTTGTGCAAACACGATGCTCTGATCTACATGTTTACGTTCTACTTCCTCACATCATCCTTTGTCCTCATGGTTCGTGTCTCTCAACCTCGACTTATTTCTTCAGTTTCTTCTGAGCCGTTTTTTTCTTCAAGATCTGCAGGCGTTTCATGGCATGAAGCTGGGACTCCTGAGAAGTCGGCGTGCCCTTTGAGCCGTTCCCATTGTTTCCATTACCTCCATTATTCCCTCCGTTCCCTCCAGCCGCCGCCTGTGAGCTGCTTGGTGAACCTGCTCCAGATGAAGAAGAGCCTTTCCCTTGACTCTCACCGCTAGATGAGCGGCTAAGTGTCTGCTTACCTAGATTTAGAGGTGGAGGAGGTTTCAGAGTTGCCTGGCTGGAGCCATTTCCATTGCTGCTCCCAGGAACCTTTACACCTAGTCCCGATTTGGCTCCTGCTAGTCCTGACAAACCCACTGGTTTCTGACCAGAGGGAGCTGTCAAAGTCTTGCTGCTCCCACTTGGGCCGGAGGAGGAAAGTTTGGAAGTGGCAGGAGCAGACGGGTTCGTTTTGGCACCAAACGCAGCCCAGCCAGTGAGACCACTGCCTGGGGAGGAGGAGTTGGTACTGGTGGGGTTGGCTGATGTGGCCGGAGGCTGCAGGAAACGATAGAAAACAAAGAGTCTAACTGTTAGGGAGCAATATCTGCTAGGATTTTATTTGCATCCCATCCCATAATGCATTGCTGTTTTGGAAATAATTAACAAATGAATGATGAAAAGGATGTAGTCCAACCACGACAACAACCACTAACACTAATTCTGCAATCACAAGTACTAATGATTACTTAAATTTAAAAGAATATTCTGATAAAATTAATTTATTAATTCAATTTATGTATTTTTTTAAATTAATTATTCAAATACATTTTATTATCACTAAATAGAGAGAACATAAATTAATGCTATTAACAGTTATTCTATTAACAGTTATTCTATTAACAGTAACATTATATTGAGTGATATAATATAATAAGAAGAATATTGTGTAATATCAAAGAAAAATTTCCAAGATAATATTATAAATATTTAACAACAGTGATAATAATTTTTTAAGCCATTAGAAGATTTATCTGTTCAAAACATGACTTTGTTTGCAAAAACTTTAAGTAAAGATAGAAATTACTTGCAATTTCATTCATGTGATAATGCATAGTGATTCACTCAGGAAGTAACTCGCTATTTGATTCAGGGACACAAACAGATGCAGAATAGTTCTGGAATTGAAACTGGAATTGACTTTAACAGGATCGGTGGATCTGATCAAATATGAGCAAGGTTGAGCTTTTCAGCAATAAAATCAACTTTGCAAACGCTCCACTTTGCACCCAAAGCCCAACATCCTCCAATGTTAAGCACATTGGAGGATGGATGATGGTGGGATGCTGCTCTTCTAATAGTCAGTGAGCTTTGTTGTAATGTACGGTCTTATATTAGACAAATAAAATCTGGCGGTGGACCATGAGAAAACCATAATCATCACTGATCAGGAATAATGATCTAAATGATAAAGCAAAATCAACACAGGAAGGGTTTGACATAAGCTTGTACGACTCCACATACCTTCACTTCGGTTCTTTTGAAAGCTTGGAAGGTGCTGGTCGTATCGGTTTTCAGTTTGAGGTCAGTCTTCTTCACCACAGTGTCCTTTACAACGGGTGTGGATGATGCAGACGCAGGGGAAGGTTTCTGTGGAGGTTTCTGGGCCTAAACAACAATAAATATGTTGATTTGGCACTGGTGTAGCAGATGCTGACAACATAACAACGGAGCGAAACACTGGAGCAGATCATTTTCCTTACCATGCGTTTCATTTGCCTGGTGCAGCGAGCGCAGTACCACACGAGCCGGGGGTCGTTAACTTCCTTATCCGTCACTTGAGGTCTATGACACTCTTGGTGATAGAGATTATGACACTCCTGGCACTCCACTAACTGGTTTCCCATGCTTACAGTCATTTGTCTGATTGACATTAAAAAGCGCAACAAGTTAAAATGTGATGATGAGGCAGTAATACTGCCCTCAAAATATCCTGATATCAAATCAAGAATTATTATATCCACCACAAAAAACGAGAAGATTAAAATGTACCTGCAAACCACACAAGCCAGACCCATCTCCATGGCAAAGTCATCAGCATTAGTCTCATCATAGTCACTTATGTTTGGCAGCAGGTCTTTGCTCGTCTGAACAGTGATGGGAGAAGAACGATTCTCCTGTTTCTCCAGGCGAGGCTTTTTCGGCGGGTCCACTTCACTGAGGTCAACCCTGACCTGCTTTATAGAAAATAACACACAGATTTTAATTTCACAATCAAATCCGACTTTTGTGCTTGTCAGGCAACCTAAACAAGGACTATTCCCCAAAACTTCAAAATGTCATTGTAACATTCAAAAAGCACTTCAAAAAGGAAACATTTACTTATGGATGACTAATCTAAACTGGAACATCGTTGACAAAAACTGCCAAAGAGTAAAGGTAATCCCAAAGTCACCAACTTTCATTCAGAACTGAACTGAAGTTTTTAGATAACATGGAAGGCTGTCTTTGTTCGCTTCTTAATGAATAAGTTGGTGAAAAAACTGATATCATAACTTTAGAATCCACTTACATCACAACCCTGATGGCATTGCTGTAGTAGGGAGCTTCTGAATGCTGGTCAAGTGAAAGGCTTTGAAGCTATGAACCTTAGATCGTTGTGAAAATATTCCTCTTCGTACCTTTTCTGATGGCCTTTTCTCCACATCTTTCTTGCTCTTCTCAGAGCTGGATTTGCTGTTTCCACTGCTGCTGTTAGAAGACGAACCTGACGACTTGAAATCTTGTTTACTCAAGCTCAGCTTGGACACGGACACCTTTGACACCTCCACCTCCTGGGGATTAAACACAGAAAACACTAGAGCTTGCATTCTTATGAAACATAAAGAGGACATAAGAATGTAAATATAGACTTTCTAGACATATTTCTTACTTTCTGCAAGGACCGGTAAGACGAGTCACTTCCTCTTGCTAGGGACTCGTCGAGCAGAGCTTTGAGTTTCTCGGCTGAATCTTTGCTCTTCGAGTGCAGATAACTCAGACCCTTTAGAAAGATTGGATCCAGCTCCAAGCTGACAGGTCCAGACATGGCTGCAAAGCAGGAAACATTGTCAGCTTTCAGTTTGAAACGTTCACAGCTCTGTCCAACACCTCAACGTCTTTCTACCAGAGCAGAGAGATGATGATTAGAATGATGAGGCTGCAGATAAATTATGCTGTAATAGGCACAACAACATTTTCTATCTCAGGATCCAAAGAGTGTTTAATGGTTAGCAAATTTCTAACGCACACATCTTCTAATGAATGCTAATATGTATTATTGAAATTCAAGTAATGTGGAAATCAGCCCACATTAGAGGCCTGAAAAACATTTCAAACAACAGTTTTCATGGCAATTCAGTTATTAGTCTACTTAAGATCATCTTCATGAAATATATGGACTTTAATGTATTTAAAATAATGCTACAGGGCAAGAAATCAAAATATTAACAAATAAAGATGTAAGTAAAACCCTGCATGCATTTCTTTTCATGCGCTCTACCTCAGACACACCTAAACAAAATGCAGTGCAACCAATTATCCCAGTTATCATTATCGATTGTTGCAGGAGGTGCCCAAGTTCAGTCCTTGAGAGCAACCATCATGCAACCTTTCTCCAACATACCTGAATCAAATGTCTGAATTCCCTCAGCATATTATGCAGCACTGCAGAGGCCTGGTAATGGGCATTCATTTGATTCACGTGTATTAGAGCAGGGATACATCGGATAGTAGTTCACACTGACTGGGCTTGGGCACTTCATTATTGTGTCCTCAAATATGGCCTCTCTGGTAGGAGGAAGTAAAGAAAGTCACTGCAACAAGCAAGAGGAGACTAAAATTGAAACTGTATGGTCCATACACCATCCTGATCACATCCTCCCTGCAATAAAACAAAGTGGTGACAGAATCATGCTGTGGAGGTGCTTTGTTCAACAGGGTCAGTGAAACTGTTCAGAGCTGATGGGAAGATGGATAGAGCTACATACATGGCAATCCTGAAAGAAAAACTATTAGAGTTTGTAAGACTTTCAACTTGGAGGAAATATCACCTTAAAAAGGCATGTAGAATACTTTGCAGTTATAACGCCTTTTCAAAGAAACTTAAAACTGACATTTCTTTACCATTTTCGACTTTTAATTACTGGTAGGCTCTACTGTGGGGCTGCATATAGAACAGTGGGGTTCATATTTGCCCACTTTGGCTTCCAAGGAGGTTTTCAAAATATTATCCACTGCACTCATCTTTAGAAGAATGGACAAACATTTCAACTTCTTGGTGTACAGAGCTTTGCAGGTAGAATTGCAGGAAAGTTAATGTTTTTATACAGGACAGGGTGAGTAGTAATGCAAAACACGCTTTTCAAATCGTGTGACCTGCAATGCACATTATCTATACTGATATGCACATTATCTATACTGATATGCAGTGGTTTCGTGGGTGTTGTTTGGGATCCATTTCGAGCGTTCTTTTAATGGAGACTAATATATAAATATAAGTATTCGTGAAAGTGAGCCTTTTCTCCTCACTTGGCCACTTGGAGTTTTCCGCACGTAATTGAGCATATTTTGCGATTTAAATGTGAAAAACTTCCCATTTATAAAAAGATTGAAGAACAAATGAGAGGAAACAGGTTGTGCGAGGACTAGGTATTTAAAGTACTTCCTCAGACCCGCATTAACCACCACGTCATATTATTGTCATATAGCAATACCAATGCCTCATGTTTTATGCTAAGGACTTTTAACTGCCGAGACCCAGACAGATCTTTGTTTTTGATGGCTGTGTAACACTGACAGGAGCTGTGGTCCTGAGGTAGCAGTGAGGAGCTAAAGTTACCTTCACAATAAAAACGGCATTTATAAAAGCCGCTGTGAGTTCAGTATAGTTATCTCTTAAACGGCCTTACCTGAGGCTGTTGTGGGTCTCTTTAACTATATCGAGATATTTTCGGTTTCCGAACAACGGAAGATTGAGCAACACGTCCCACAGAAGCCGTTTTGGTGCAACCGCCTAAGAAGTCCGGAGTAGACATAAACGGAACGATATGAAAAAAGTGGTATATATATATATATATAATATATATATACCACTTATATATATATATATATATATATTATATATATATATATATTATATATATATATATATATATATATATATATATATATATATATATATATATATATATATATGTAAAAATTTGAAAGCTGGTGCATGTCAGAAACCGCAGCTGCAGAAATGTTCTTACTTTATTATTACTTAAACTGCGTCAGTGCATCTCGATAAAGAGAGTAACCAAAAAGTTGCATTTTGCCTGTGACTCAATTCAGAGAATAAAAGTGATAGTGGACACATATCTGTTTTATATTTAGGTCGTTCACTTATGACTACAAGTCAGATGATAAAATTCCAAAATTCAGTTTTTCAGGAAAACTGAACATTCTTTTGAAAAAGAATCTTCTGCTAGAAAATACTCCATAGATTTTCTATGGGACGTTTCGGTAAAGAGAGTTTATTGTTGTTGCCACTACTCACAGCAGAGGGCACTGTGGAGTTCTGTTAGCTTTATGCAGATGAAGAAGAAGCTCTGTTGTGAACGTTCAGAAACCATGTGTTACAACTAGTGTTTGTAAGTATTTTGTTTTTTATGTAACGCGTTGAAGTTGGCATTTTGGCGCATAAATATGTAAATAGGTTGTGATTTGTAAGCAAAACAAACAAATATCTTTCGTTCTACTCCACAGCATCGACTCCATATAAGATGAAACGCTCTGAAGCAGAGCAAATGCATCCCTGCCTCTATTTAGAAGTCTGTTCCCATGACGAGGAGCCGCGTCTGCCCCTGCACTCCGCCATCGTCCTGTTCCTCCTGTCCTACTGCGAGTCCAGGTCTTTCAAAGTCTTCCTGGTTCGCAGAGAGAGCGACAACAAAAGCTTCCCTGAGTCCCAGAGGTTTCACCTCCCAGAGTCTCTGAGTGTGTACGATTTTCTCTCCCCGGAGTGTCTCCCGCAGCTGGTGAGGGGTTGCCGTCTCCCGGCTGCCGTGGATGAGAGCGGGCGGCTCTGCCGGGCTGGGCTGGCGGTGGTCCTCAGGCACGTCATCATCAGAACCATCGAGGCTGACCCCTCCAGGAAGGATGTGCAGGAGCTGCTGGGGTTTAAGAAAACCTGTCTGAAAGCTTGTGCAGAGGTTAGTTGGAAATGTGTCACAGTTTCACCAGGATAAAGTGCTTGACACGAATCACATCTATGTCGATGACTGTGGTTTTATTTAAAATGGAACTAAAAGGATTGTGCAAGTGAAACATTGAGAGCAGTTCTTCTGTCACAGACTATTTGAACTTCTCCCATCCAGCACACCTGAATCAAATGAATGGTTGATTAGGAGGATCCTGCAGAAACTGCTGACTGGGTGTTTTCTGAAAGCTATTCTTGAGCCATCATAGGCCATCATCTCTTAGTGCTGGTGGTGTTATAGTGTGGGCAGATGTATTTAGTGAATAGAGAACTGTCCTACACTATTGTGAATTGCATAGTATCTATGCTACTTGAAAAAACGTCATCTGTCCAATTATTTCACCACAGCATTAACAAAACAGACCGATTTCCACCTTGATGGACAACAACACTCCACCTCATTGAGGTCACATCATTGTAGAATCGCTGACTGAAGTACCTTGAATCAAGTAACCTGAACTTTCTCCAGACATGAATTTCATAGATGACCGCTTGGATCAGCCGAGTCACAGTTCAGTACCTCAGAATCTCAATAATCTGAGAAGCGCCCTTCTAGAAGAGTTGGATGCCATTCCTCTGCATACAATAAGTTGATTTGTGAACAGTGCAATTCGTTGTCAAGCTGTAATTGATGCTCAAATACACATGACACGTTATAGAGATTTTATTTTTTTGTTGTAGCATAATTAGCAGTGGTGCTGGCTTTAGCTCCGTTTAAAATGTTTCTAAATCTTAAATAACCCTTTAAGAATAAGGGCCTTTAAGTAGATGTGATTTCATGATGAATCACATTAGCGTGAACGGTTTAGAGCTTCCTTAAATTTCACCTGAAAGCAAAATATCCTTAAGTTTTTGTGAGAAGTGCATATTTTAAAACAAATCTTAAGTGTAGACAGCTCTTACTAATTCTAAGGGATTTTTAAATTTTATTTTAAGGAGAGTTCTGTATTATCTTATCATCTGATCTCCTTGTTCCTCGCTATAAGGTGAGCAAATGGACCAGACTGTGTGAATTGGGCATCCCCTCTGCAGTCGAGGAACACCTTCAGAAACCCACAGAACAGGCCCAGCTGCTGCCTCCTGCTATTGTTACCCTCGAGCAACGACTTGCCGAGCCCGTCAAAGTACACAACGATGACAAAATCCGGAGACAGAAACTTCAAGAGCAGAGACAGCGGCAAAAGAACGGCACGCCTGAAGGCGAGGGAAAACCCGAACTTGAAGGACTCGAGCTCAGGGCGGCTCTGGCCAAACTGGCAGTGGATTCAGTTCCAGTAGGAACCACTAGAGAGAACTCTGAGATCAGGAAAGTGAAGACAACAGATTTACCTGAACTGGAGCATGTGTTTGCTGAGGGACTTTACTTCACTCTGACTGATGTAGTGCTGCTGCCCTGCATTCATCACTATCTGGTAAGGCCTTCTGGCTTGATGATAACGTTAATAAGGATTTATTACCGCTTTGAGAAATGATTTGTTCTTAATAATTGCCTTATTTCTGGTGTTTATCTTGGATAATTGCACTTTTTATTTCAATAAACACATGCCAGAAGTTAATTTCATGCTATTTTTACTGCAATTAGTTGAGTACTTTTGCTATAATGACACACTTTGTTTAATAGCAGTTTGCATTCGCACAACACTTGTTATGTGGGCAAATAATCCACACTCATAGGAGTTTTAAGTGCTGTACAATCTGTTTCTCATTCACCCATTCACACACGCTATTGTCTGTGACATTGTGCCACAAGACATTAATTGCTACCATCCAGAACTTGTGTCATCATGCATGTTTTTCCATCTGTGCCACACAACTCCAGTTGCATACATATTCACCGTGTCTCTGACATCTTTATAATGATGACTTGTGAAATAATGTCCGACGTCTGGTTTCCGACACTCCGGTCATGGTGAGCAGTCTCCTTTCAGACGCATTCAGGCAGAAAGTCAAATCAAGGAGACTCTCTGCATCAGAACTGGCACATTTTGGCTCTCACAGGTGGTCCTGGGCCACCTGGCAGAAACTGATAACACTATATGGGAGGGATTCTATTGAAATGCAGCAGACTGACATGCATTTCATTTGTGAGCGCGTTTCTCTCTGACAGATCATCATGGCAGGGTCTTATGCTGGCTTCAAAACTTCAAACTCAATCAGAACTTCAAGAGCTGAAGCTCATAAATGCTGAATATTCATTACTCAAAATGATCTCTTTTTGCAATTTGCATTTAAAGTAACAGAAACTAAGATTTATTTATTTTTTTTACCATAGACCTGAGTGGCATGCGCAGAATTTTGACCAGGTTTACTCGGGGAATTTCTATGTGATGGAGCTGCACAATATATCAAATCACAGTATTATTGTGTGCAATATTGCAATTATGAAGAGTAACTTGGATGCAATATTAGATAGCATATTGTATTTTCTTTGCCACGCATGAGCATTTTTTATGCCTATATTTTTGGCTGGTCAGGGTTTCAATGCACTTGATGCGAACACTCGATTGATAGGTTTAGAAACTAAGATCCTAAAGCTCACAAAGCATGCTGGTCAAATTATGATGAAGAAAAATGAAGGGAAAAAAACCCAAACATTTGGAATAAAAAAAAATAGTCAGCAATTAATTACTGCTCGTTATCAACATTGCAATAATCAATAACAGTTTGGCAATAGATGTTTTCCACAGATTGTGTGAAATGAGAATGCTTTGATTAAAATCTCAAGTTATTTAATAAGGTCTGATTTTTATTGTTAGATTGTGAAGTGCAAAATATTACATGTGAAACTTTCCACACTTTGTAAAACACAAACTTAGAGATATTTTATTGGAATTTTAAATAAAATGGCAACACAGGGCCACATAGCTGAGAAGTGGAAAGAAAAGGGTGTGTGTTTTTTGGAAAAAAGATCTAAATAAAAGTTTTAAAGGTGTTGCTTACATTTGCGTTCAGCCCTCCTAAAATAAAGCATTTTAGAATTACACTAACCTATCACAGCTGCATGTCGTCTCATCCATCCTTGCTCATCGAGAGATAAAATCCTTTTCCCAGCCTCAGTTAGTCACTATTAGCATAAATGTGTCCAAGTCAAACCTCTGCACCATTCTAACACAGGAATTTACTCTCATCTTGACTTTGGCTGTACATTTAGAACAGTGAATCTAATCAAAGTTGAACCTCCACCCCGGGAAATGGGGTGGCTTTGTCTCGAATGGGGAAAAAAAGCCCGCTTTCCCACAGTATGATTATGCCACCACTTTGTTTCACAGTGAAAATTTACAGTTTGGTTGATTTTCAGTGTTTATGATGCGTAATGTTTTAGATGTAGGTTTAAAAAAAAAAAATCAGTCTAGATTTCTGCTAAACCTCTGATTTATAATTTTGACATACAAAAATGAGTTTAAATGAATTTATTTGTTCAACTATTAAGATTTTGACACACAGCTTTGAAACAGGATGGGTAAATTATTAATCTTGGACATTGTGCTGTCAAGCAGAAACGCGAGTCTAAACCTTTGTTTCACATGTCAGCTGTCTCTAACTATCTGTCCACTGTGGGAACGAGCTGAAGTCCTCACATCCAGGCTTTTAGCAGTCAGCTGCGCTCCACTGGTTTCCAGTTTCACACTCAGCGTAGCATGTATCCTTTTAACGACTCTGTCCATGCCGCACACGGCTCCCAGCGGCTCCTTCTCACTCGTCCTCTGTTTTGCGTGTCATCTTTCTGTCACACGCAGTCAAATGCGGCTTCTGTTATAATGTCTCTCTCAGTTTGTGTCTTCATCCTGGCCTCCCCAGCTGCCAACTCTGTTTTCATGCTTCTCCTGCCGGCCCCTCAAGTGTGTTTGTCTGTACAGAAACGTGATGAGTGACTTTTTTGTGGAACTTCACCTCTCGCTTCGATAGACATGACACACCAGTCAATTCACTTAATCAATATCTCCCCTTCTTTTCCCCTTTAATAGTGCTCACTCCAAGCCCACACACCAAGCACTCTGCAGCATCTCCCCCGCCTCCTGCGCTGGTACGGTCGCGTTCAGGAAGTTCCTGGGGTCCTTCGAGCAGCCAAGGATTGTGGGTTAATTCTGTCCAAAGTCCAGGTTCCATCACCCAGCCTCTTTGGGCCACCACAACAGGAGAACCTTGATGACCTGCTGCCTACAGAGAACCAGGGCGTCACACCAAACCTTCATTTTGTCGGCGGTCCAAGGCCCACAATGTCTAAACTCAAGGTAAATTATTACCTTTCCTTTGCTTCTGTGATTCCCAAATGCTTTGCTTTTATGCATGACAGGAAATTTAAGAGACTGCCCCCCACCCCCATTTCCCCCTCAGTGCACACAGATGTGATTTGTTGGGTGGTAGTTTAATGGCCTCAGAAGATTCATGGCTGCTTATTCTGTTAGTTGTTGCACCTTAAGGAGTACTAATATTTAAGCCTCTGGCAGTCATAGATTGCTGACTTTGTGTCCTTCCACTCCTGTTGTAAAAAAATATGTCTTTTTAAAACAGAAGCAGTAACAAAATTAACATTTAATCTGCTACTTACAGTTTTTGTCAGCTATGATAAGAATGTGTTAAAAGAAATTAAAGTTTTTCTGCAGCAGCATAATCTCTGTGGGAAAAAAATCCAGCCATTATTTTTTAATATATATTTTTTATTTTGTAGTTAAGTGTTTTTATATATAATGTATGCATTTCAACTAAATGTTAGTAAGCATTTTTTGATTTATGCTTAATTTTTTTAAGTGGATCAGAGGCTTCAGGACCATCTAATCAGAAATTCATGACTTTCTGTTTTTCTGGGATATAAAAATGACACCGAGGTCAATTTCTTTTAGCCTGTGGTAACAAGGGTGGAAGAAAACCTCTGTCTTTCTTCCCAAAAGGCACAGTGGACAGGTTGGGGAAGCAGGTAAGAAATCACTAAACATTCTCAGAGAATTGCAGCAAAAGCATCTTGGGATCACAAAGTTTCCCAGCTACTAGTAGATGGTGCCTCCCAACCCATTATTAGGGAAGCATGCCTGGAAAGGGAAGATTGAGTTTTTCAGCAACAGACTCCCCAGGTGGTGGCATGAAAACATAATAAATCTGTGGAGAAGCCACCTCATACCCACCTCATACCCAGGATTAAGTATAATGGAGGACACATGATTCTCTGGGCTTTTTTACCCCTTAATGGCTCGACAGGCGTTGATCTTATTAATTCTGAAAATAGGACGTTGTGAATAATAACCTGAAGGATTTTACTAAGTGACACCAAGTTGAAAAAGGTGTTTAAGCTGGAATATGGTGCAAATCAACAGAGAGACTGTTCAAAAGACACTCATTCAATGGTGCCATTTCAGTGTCCAGTGTGGTGAGCTAAGAGAAGACAGCAAAGGTCAAAGATCACTTTCTGTTTGTGCTCCGACCTTGTGAAATAGTAGTAGATCATGCTGCAAAGCCAATCTTTCCCCACCGTCTCAACCAACAAAAAACACTTCAACTTTTTAATCTTTACCAGGAATGAAAATATGTGAAGTTTTTACAAAACAAGTTTTGATAAAGATGGAAGGACAGAAAATAGATTAAAATATGCGGGTATTGTTTGAATGAGTGCTTTTTTAAAATGGATGTTTCAGTAGTCTCAGTGGATCTTGTCAGTTGAAGTAATGCTGACAATAAGAAAAAAAAAATTGTGATATCCCAGTTTTTTGTTAATAAATATATTTCAATAACATTTACCTGATTGTTGTTGATCTAGAAAAAGGTGCATGCTCTTGGTTGTCGATTATTGACAAAAACTGGTTGGAATTCCTAGTTTTGATGCATTTCCGAGTGAGAAAAAATATATTTACCAATTGTTGCATTTCTAGATAATTCTCTTTTTTTTATAAGATGTAGATGTTCAATGATATAGTCAGGCCTGTCACAATTACAAATTTTGCTGAGCAATTAATAGGCTCAGAAATTATTGTGATAAAAGATAATATTGTTTGATGACCATTTTAAACTGATGTAATGGTACTGACATATCTGCCAAAATAAATACACTTTATTTTCAAAAGAACACTTAACACCTTAACTGGTAAACAAAATAAACAAAGCAACCAAAAACAAAAATAAAATGGTCTCTCAGCCTCTGTTAATAAAAAATGCACTTGAATAAAAAAAAAAACTAAGCACAATATGAAACCAAAGTGGAAATAAAAACTACATTCAAACAATAGAGTACAGATCATGAAGTCTGTACTCTGCAATAGTTCACTCCTCCCTTACGCTTAGAAAATGGGGAAGGGAGGGATAAGTGGAAAGGGCAACGGGAGTTGAGCCTTTTTTCATCCAATATCATCAACAGAAAGAGAAACAGGCAGGAAGAAACGATGAAGCCGATAAATTAAAATGAGGTAGATAATTTTCAATTATCATGCAATTAATTGATTTGTTGTTTATTGCGACAGGTTTAAATGTAGTATTTAGAAACCAAAATAAAAATTTCCATTTGTATAGCCAGCCTATTTCTAGTGCTGTAAACTTCCTTCAAGAAGTGTTAATGACACACTTGGATTCAGATGCATCTCTAGATTTCTTCGCTCTGTATCACCCAAGTTGTCACCCTTCGCATATTTGAACAAGCTTTTGCAGCAGAAGATAAGCAGAGGCAGCTTCTCAGATGTAGATATTCCCCTCAACCTCACTAACTCCTTCTCAGTGAGCTGTTAGTCTGTCTTTCTTCCTGTCCTCTCCCTGCATAGATATTTCTGTGATTTCCTGCTGGCTCGAGCTTTATAAGAATGTGATTATGAGTGGCAGGAACGGTGAGGGCAGTAAGAGGGTAGGTGGTGGTGGGGCGGGTGTTTTTGTAGTTTGGATGAGACAGAGTGAGCTGGGTGGTCAGGATGGGATGTGTCTCATATTTGCCACGTCGGTAGATGAAATTTCAGTCAGGCCCAGATGTGCACAAATGACAGTTTTCATGCCGTGTTGAAGTCAGACATTAAAACTTAGAGGAATGCCTGCACGTACCAACACAATAGCCACCATTCTTTCTCTGCTTAGAGGGATTACAAAGATGGCTACATGTCGCCACTATTTTGTCTGGAGTGCAGCTGTTGTGCTTTTTGGCCAGTGTGAGTGTGTGTGCATGTGTGTGTGTGTGTGTGTGTGTGTGTGTGTGTACATTGGCTGTGTGGGAAAGAGGAGTTTGACAGTCGATCGTTCTGTTGGTGCTGACCAGAGGCAACCGTTCCTCTCCCTCTCTTTCTGTGTGTTATCTACGTGATAAATGGCTCATAAACTCTCACTTTCTAATTTTTTCACATGAGTTAACATCAACTGATGCCCGTCAGTCAAACTGTCAGTGCAATGAGGTGTACATTTTTCACTGAATGCAGACCCAGTATTGAGATGATTCTCTTTCCATTAAGGTTCACCTCAGCCTTTAAACCCGAGAGGAAGAATGACCCAGAAAGGAATTTCTGGCAAAAAGAAAGGGAGTCAGCTGCTTAAAAAACAAAAACAGAAAAATACATGATTTTCTCTTGAAGTAATTGGTCTCATAGGGAAGCTGTTGGAAAAACAGGGATTTCAGACACAGGCAGTGTGTTCCAGTGGAAATGTTAACCTTAAAGCTATGATTCTTTCAGCTAAAAGTTTTTTGTTTTTTGTTTTTTTAATTTTGCCTTACGGAGTTATTTGGGAGCAAAATTTTCTTTTGAATAAGTCCTGGAAGTATATTTGAGTGCAGCTGGCTACTCACAAAGCTTCTCTGCTTGACCATTGGAAGATTATTTTGGAACATGGCTCCAGCTTGTTCAGGAACTGAATTAAAATTTTAAACTGTAAATAATTCAAAGTTCCTAGGATATTCCCAAATCTTTGATCCTTGTCTTGACTTGACCTTTCCTCAGGACTTATTGGGCAGCTGGAGCCATCTGTATAGGTATGAATGTTACTACTGAGCATAAAGGCTTTCCAGTCTTACAGGAAAATGTGGATTTAGGTCATTTTGAGGAAGATCAGTGTTACGTTCTGTCATATGTATAGATGATCCATTTAAGAGTTTGCGTTTACTGTTATCATTGCAACCACTGACTATTTGTTGTTACTAGTAACAAAATAAATCTACAGAATTATAGTGAACTAAAGTTAGTAAAGAAACAAAAGTAACAATTCTGACTGCATATTAAGAAAATTGAGAGCTAATATAAGAAATTTATATTACATAATATAATTTCTCATCCCTGCTCAAAAGAATCTTTCTACAAACTGATGCCATACATTTTTATTCCGTATTGAGATATACCCCACAAAGGAGATAAATTGTGACAACGGAATGGAGCAGCACAGTAGCTGGAAGGATAATGTAGAAAATTGTTGCCTAGAGTTGAACCAGTGTGCTGAGCCTGAGAGCATGTAAGCGCACAGGTGTCCTTTAAGCCCACTTTGCTTTAATGACACCACCAGCACTGCAGGAGCTGCTGTTTTGTGCTAATGCCGTCATCCTGGGCCAAATCTGTGTTGGCCCAGATTTCTCTGATGATGCTTCAAAAGCTTCTTGTCATGTCAGGGGTTTTTGCTTTTATCAAATTTCTAAAAGTACTTGTAGAAAACTTCGAGTTACATTTGAGCTCATTATCCAGATTTATTTTCTCTTTTCCAGTCATGAAAGATGTGAAAAGGGGTACTCATTATCTTTAGCTGATTCAGTGATTGCTGCTTCTGCAATATTTAGTGACAGCTTTTATGCATGGATAGGAGCGGTCTTATTTACTCAGCATATGTTGCAGTTATGATTATTATTGTAGTTAAGTTCAAAGAGGTATATAAAGTCTATTTCAGCAGCTCTTGAAATTTGGTGACTGCATCCTCGGATGAACAGCAGCATGTTTTACAAATTCTAATTAAATTTCAACAAGAACTGACAAACGCAGGGCCATTAAAATACCAACTAATATCTGTGCTGCATTAGGTGGTAGAGCCATTAAAACACCAATTAATATCTGCGCTGCATCAGGTGGGAGAGCAAACTTTAGCAACAGTAACTTGAAATCAGCAGTTATAATATTTTTCAATGTTTGTTGCACAACAATTTAGGTCCACCCTTCTTTTTACAAAGAGTTTTGCAGAGACTCATTTGTGCACACTCATTTCTTTTGTCAGTCATTCTCTTAAAAAATTACTGCTGTGTTTGGAATTATTGTCTTGCTAAAAGACAATAATTAAATGAAGCTGTAGCAGCTGGACAGATGACCTCACATTTCAATTTTGCATACTTTCGTATACAGAGAGCTCCATGGTGTGCCCAGCCCCTGGAAATAGTTTCCCTCTGTGCCTTCTTTTTAGTTCATGCAGACACAACTTAAGAAAGACAAATCTCTTTCTTAGGAATCCCAAGATGGGAATTTGAAACACTGATGAATTGCCATGGAATCTGCAATGTAGATTGTATTTATTCTTTTATTTTTTGCATTTTGTTGGAACACTGCACAGTCTGCCCTTGGCTTGAACTTGGTATGCCCACTCCTGGGAAATTGGCCACAGCATTAAATATTTTCCACTTGTCTGCAATCTCTTGCTGCAGAAAGATGAACTGCACATTGTTGGGCATGGCCTTACATCTGGTGGAGATTGATGGACAGCAGCAGTTGTTCTAAAATCGCTGTTGGAGCTTCTCTTCTTGCATCATGTCAACACACATGAATGGTCCAGACTTCTGCTTCTTCGATAGAAATGCTCTAACCTGTGCTCCAACTTGGTTATTATCAGCTCATTCAGTTAATCAATACAGGTGAAACTCAATTAATTACGGTAGATAAACGACAAAGAGCTCAATTATTTAATTATTCAGCCGAAAACATGGCTGAATGAACCTATACAAATAGGTTCATTCTACACCCATTTATGCTGAGCTATTAAGCAAAAGCAACTATATACATAAAATCAAGTAAATTGTTATATTTAACTGTTTTTTTGGCTTTTGGGATCATTTTTATTCACATGCAGTTTATGCAGCTTCTTAACAGAGCTTTTTACTTGTCGTTATTTCTGTTTCTCTCAGGAAAATGGCATCGAGGCAGTCTTCTCTCCTCATCCTTGCCCTGCTTGGACTCTCCCGTGGGATAGATTACCAGCAGCTATCAACCCCACTGAAGGTAATGTTAAATTTTGGCCTTTGTGCTGTGCTCCATCTGATTTCTCTCTGCTGTTCTCTCCCCTGAAACTCTTTTCACTGCTCTTTTAGTTTCACAGTCTTTAGTGTCCCTCTCTGCTTATGTTAATATTCTGAATTTTTAAACGGCAACAGTGATGCTGTTTTCACAAAGAGATACTCATGTAAATGAGCCCATGCTTCCAAAAGATGATCTTTTGTTCTTTTCTGTTATCCTATAGTTACTGAATTTTGTAAATCAGAGCTTTACGAAAACCAGGTACTGTAACTCAGCCATTACACTGTGATGTGTACATCTCTAGTTTAGCAGCATTAACTTGTTGATAAATATTTATATGGGATTTTTTTCTCAGTAATTCTATCTAATTGTCTGTGAAAGAAAACAAAAAAGACTTTAGTAATAATGTGGTTAATGTGTTTATACTTATGGTAAATTAAATTGCTTAGAAATAATAGTAATGCTTTTAATTCTTTCCCTTTGAGTTATTTTGAATTTTTTCCAAGACTACTTTTGTTTTATGTTTATATTTTTGGGAGATTGTTTTCATGGTTACTTTCTGTTCCTAGTCAGAAAAAGATGAAGGCAATAAAGTAATGTTATGCAGCTACAATAGGTATTCTGACACTAACTGCAGCCTCTTAAAGTTATTTTCTTACTGTATAAGTTATTTTATTATTATATTGACTACATTTTCTGTAGTCAATGTACAAAAAAATGACCTTAGATAAAATGTTGGCAGAAAGAGTTTGTGCAATCAGTGTGAATGGGCTATATCTGTTTTGGAATCATGAAAGTCTGGGCCAAAATTCTTGGCAATCCATGTAGGAAAACAAAGATTATTTGGCAAAAACTCAAGGTAAAGTTTGCAGAGGTTTAATTTTGAAGGAACATGAAGGAACATGATGTTCCCAAAATGATGCATCATCACAAAATTATCATCACAGTTCAGATTACAGACGCTCTCAATCGTTTGAATTTCTTTCTTAGACTGCATCCCACTTTCTCCATTATTATTATTATTGTTATTATCATCGTCACAGTTCTGATTACAGACGCTCTGAATCATTTGAATTTCTTTCTTAGACCACAACCCACTTCCTCCATTACTATTATTATTATTATTATTATTATTACTATCATCACAGTTCTGATTACAGACGCTCTCAATGAGTGCCAGCTGGAGACATCCTCAAAGGAAGTGGGTCCAAGTGGAAAATCATTTGGACCAGCCCATCAATATAATCTGCACCAAAGGATTATGTCAAATAAAATGATACACTTCAAGTCCCTTAAGTTAAATTAATTATTCCTTGTGTTGGTAACCTCTTCCTATTTGTGATTAAAATGTGTTTCTAATTTTTTTCTAAAACCAAAGCCTAAAAACTTCAGAAATCTAACAGCAAGTCCACTCACTTCTAAACACTCTGAATGATGTAAGAACTGTTCTGAAAGAAAAAAAAATGATTGCGAATGACGTAGTTGCTGCCCAACTTTTGTACCCACTGTGCAATAAATTGTGCTATTGATAACCCTTCCTACAGTATTATGACAACCAGCAGACAGACCCCCTGCTTTAGTGCTGTGTCACTCAACTTTGCCAGAAAAATTCCCATTTTTCTTGGCTATCTGTATGTGGGCTATGACCTTTCTTTTCTTCAATAATGCATCTAAATTAATGTACAAGAGCTTCCTCTTCTCCAGATATGTCCATGATTTTATGATGGATATGAAAGCATTTCTGTCTGCTAGTATGTGGGCAGATGTAAATTGCTCAGCCAAGAACAGAAGTAGAAGAGACTGTCTACTGATGACGGTAGCGAATGCTTAATATAACATGGCAGGGCAGAGTAGGGCAGACATATCAGCAAGTATACAGCAGGAAAACATATGTTGTGATAATTTCACCGATGACCTTTTAGTGAGGAATTGTATGTATATTTGCACAAACTCAGTCTAGTCTTACTCTTCTGTAAAACACAGTGTGGTTATGTGTGTTTTGTTGGGAGCATTTTGGAACTCGAGTCATACTCCTCGTTCGTGTGAACAAACCTCACAAATGAAACTGATAATGATTAAGTTTTTTTTTTTAAGATTAAAAGCCTTTTTCAGACATACTGGAGACCTGCTAGTTTAATTTCGGGTCACTGGGCGATAAAAACGTAAATTTTTATTGCAATATTTTGTGGTACTATTGCTAAAGCTTCTGATTTTAAAAATATGACTTATTTTTTAAGTAACTATATGGCTGTGATTGCATGGCCTCATATATATATATATATATATATATATATATATATATATATATATATATATATATATATATATATATATATATGTATATATATATATATATATGTTTCCCTTGTGCCGCACAAATGACTTGAATAAGTGGGTGATTGCCAAGCTTCTGCATCATTTGATTGCATGCTTAGGAGGTCAGCTCATACACACACCTTCATCTACACAAGTTTTTAAATCTTGGATTTCAATGTTTCTGTGCTTTAAGTTCTACTTTTATAAATCTAGAATGAGAGTGGTTCCAGCTCATTTTTATTTTAACAAAATTAAAAATTAAGCATCTAAATCCAAAGGATTTTTGTCCTATGACAGGCTTCTTTACAAAACAGATGAGAAGCATTTCACACCGCGGTGTCATTATATAAAGCAGCCGACTTTTTGTCTCCAGCATTTTATTTAATGCAGAGAGTGTGGGAGCTAAACATCAAGTGGAATGGAATGGGATGATGGATTGTGTGACAGCAGGAGATGGAGATAAGAGTGAGAGCAGGAGGAGCTACTAGAGTTATCAGGGAAACGGAGCGGGGAAAGAAAGGTGAAGGAGACAATGAGGCGTGAAAAAGGAGTGCAAGTGAGGGAATCGCATAGCTGTCATGCCTGAGACATGCAGGTATAATGTCCTTCAGGGTTATTTTGGTATGAATGGATGGGTTTCCATTTCTTTGATAAAGAAACCTTAGTTTCTGGAGATGGAGATCTCCATAAAACATCTTTGTACAATTTCTGTTTTGAATTAAGCATAGATTTTGTGATTATTTTTTAAATTAAATTCTGTATTTAAAAGATTCTAAAGTATGAATATTCCCTGGAGAACCACATAAATACAACCTAAATATTTTATCCATCCAATCAAAGCTGTTTTTGTAATGTAAAGTACAACATTACATCAATGTGAAAAGATATTCAATATTCTTTTATCTTAGGAGATACTCATTGAATGCAGGGCCAGCTAATTATTACTTTAGCAGTTTGTTAATGAGTAGGTCTGTGGACTTTTTTTCATTTGGTGTGCCCCAAAATGAAAATGTGTTTGACACTCATGCTCTATATCACATGTGTGAAACTCTAGTCCTGTAGGGCCACTGGCCTGCAACTTTTAGATGTGCCTCTGCTGCACCACACCTGAATGCAATAATTAGGTCATTGGCAATGCTCTGGAGAACTGATCTACACAAGAAGGAGGTAATTAAGCCATTTCATTCCAGTGTTTTGTACCTGTGGCACATCTAAAAATTGCAGGACAGTGGTCCTTGAGGAATAGAGTTTGACACCCCTGCTCTAGATAATTAAGGTTTGAACTGATTACCATGTTTTTCTAGAGTTTTGCAAATTAACAGCACATTCTAGAATTGGCTAATTTTCACAGGCCAAACTGGTGTCTAAGTTTCTTTTTCTTTATAGGAGCTGTTTCCGGATGTTATTCGAGTAACACATAAACTCTAGTCTCTAATTGCAAGTCTGTCTGGCTATATGATGTCAGTGATGCTCAACAGAAGCAAAACTAATTTTGACACGCTCATGTTTGAGGTTCAGCATTGTAACATCATCTGTTTTGCTGATCAAAGCTACATCCAAAATTTAAATCACAGTAATTTCCAAGTGTGCAAGTGTTTTTGGTTTTTTTTTTGCATGGGTTTCATATGAAGCGGTCAATCTGTAGTTAAACCCAAAGGTTAAGGTCATATTTGACACTTATACATATTTATCTTCTCATCTTTTTTTGTTTTGTTCTGATGATATCTCTCCAGTGAACAGACATTTGACAGTTATTTATTCCCTTCAGGTTTACAGCACCAAACAGCTGGCTGTGACTCCCAAATCACTTCTCTCATTCCCAATTAGCTGAACTCATTACAGCCGATAGATTGGAGATTCAAAGATATCCAGTAAACATGGGACCGGGCACAACAGGCAGCCAGCTTTGTTACTCCCAATTAGAAGGATAATTGGCACTTTATTAGTGCAATTCAAGTTCAAACACATCTCGATCCCCTTGGGGTTACAGCAGAGTTGCACCATTTGCGATAGTATTTGAGTTGTGCCTATTTAAATTCAAAGCCTCAAGCCATCTGCATAATAAGCTTCTTGTAAATGCCATGGCATGAATATTCATTTAGCTCCATAGTTTTTGCTTTGCTCAATAACCTCTGCTGAGGCCCTGCTGTGGGGATATAGAGCAAGAAGAGAATTTGCCTCACCATCTGACAGTTTTAAATGAAGTTTTCTTTTTTTCCCTTTTTTGGGGGAGATTATAATTTTTTTATTTATTTATTACATTTTACAACAGTCATAATTAATTACTCAAGAGGCATCTCTGCCTACAGGAAATTGCTAAATTAAATCTTTTTTTTTTTTCAGTGTGTGAATGTCATTGAGCTATAAATGAAAATCTCAGCAGCTCAATGATTGTTAAGTGGATATACACAGATCAGGTTTCTTGTGACTAGCCCATTTGTTTGGTTTTCTTTGGACCTGTTTATTCAAAACAGACTAATTCCGTTTTTTTTCCCCCATATGACTTTTATACATACAATCTTAAAAATATATTTGATAAATTTCAATCTAGCTTGAAAGAAAGAATCAAAATATTATTCCTATTTATATATAAAAGTACTTGTCTATAACTGTCATCAGATCTTTCTTAGGCTAAAAAAAAAAGTGACATCCAGTTAAAAAGAAAAATG